AACCCCTGAAGACAGAATCTTAAGGGACAGAACCCCTAAGGACAAGAACCTTAAGGGCATTCACAGGAACAGCACAAAGAAATCAAAAGTGAGAAAAAGTGGCTGCTCATTTGGTAGCTGGTCCAGGTGTGAGGTTTTGTGATTCCTTTCTGTGCAAATACAGGATAGTGAATGTTCCAGAGGCACCAGGTGGGAATGTTTACCCATGGGATGAGGTGTAAGCCAGGAGTGCTGAGGTGCCTGGGATAAAAGCTTCATTTTTTTTTTTTTTGTCTCAAAGTACCTGGTTTAAAAATGAAACTGGAGTTGTTTGCGCCCTGTAATTTGGGCCATGATTTTTCTCCATCCTCCTGGATTTGTTAGAGGTGCCCTTGGCTTTGAGATGCTGAACTGCAGGAGAAACCCTGGGGCTGAGTCTGATGTCCAGAGGGAGCTGCTGGTGGCAGGTTTGATGTTCTCCCAAATTTACAGTATTTGTCTTTGGAAGGGGATGAGCTAGAGAGACCTGAAATCCTTCATTCCCAACTTCCTGAAGACTGGAATGATGACCTGGACTATGTGTTGGCTCTCAGCCTGCAAAGTGAGAATAATCCTCACCATGATACTGCAGCTGACATTCCCAGGGATTTCTGGGAATACGACTACACCAAAGAGCCTGGACAATCTGCCCATCCTGGTGGAACAGACCTGTCCAGCATCTTCTCCTGTGACTCTCCAAGGTCCTTTAGCACATCAAACCACAGCAACATAGGTATAAACACTGTTGTGGTGGGGTTCATCCTTAAATTTGAGGGGAGGGGAAAAGGAAAATTTGTTTTGGGAACGTTAAAAGATTACCTAGGTATTTTAAAAGGTGAAAATCAGTCATTTTGAGACTCCTAAAGCAAAGCAGCAAGTGAAAAAAGAAAAGCTTATTAAAAGTAGTGGGTCTCTAACCTTGGTGTGTGGTGGGAGCCCAGGTGGGGAACAAGGTTCTTGTGGAAGTAAAAATGGTGGGAAGGAGGATCTGGGGGGAAGCTGGGGTGCAGCTTGTTCTGAGAGGAGAAATGGCACCACAGGGTTTGATGATGCAGCAGACCCCACAGGTGTTTTCACCAGACTCCACAGAGGATGTAACCCTTCCTTCTCTTGCAGACAAGGAGATGATCATGTTGCCCTGCGAGTTCTGTGAGGAGCTGTGTCCTGCTGAAGATCTCATCCTTCACCAGGTTTGAAAAATCCTTGTGTCTTGGGGTTTGCAGTGAAGACTTTTCTGTGGCTGTCACTGAGAAGCGTGTGGAAGGGTGTGGGTGACATGGGGAGAACTCTGGCATTTGGGTTTTTGCCAGGGAAAGTGGTTTTCAGTGCCCCCCTGGCTCATTAGGAAAGGTGATTTTTCCATGTTGTTTGTGTAACAGACAGGGTGTAACCCAGCAAGTGCCTTTGCCTCGTTCAGTAAGAGAAGTTCTCCAAATCCATGGGAATACAGTGGTGTGCGAGCTGGGGGGTCCAGCAGCCACAGGACTGTCCCTTCATCCCAGCCCCAAGCTGTCCAGGCAGAAGGAGACATCATGATTCCATGTGAATTCTGTGGCATCCAGCTGGAAGAGGAGATTCTCTTTCATCACCAGGTACTGAACAGGACAGGCTCTGGTGGGTCACATCCCATTGTTTGAGGATGGGCCCAGTCCCAGGGGCTCTTGTGGCACATTCCAGGAATTCAGGGAGCTGCCCCTGGCTCAGATCTTTCCACACAAAGCTCTGGGATCCATGTGAAGGGTTGTGCTACACTGAGGCTCCTCCTGAAAAGTACTGGATTAATTTGAAAGCTCTTGTAATGAAACTAAACAAAAGGGCCTGAAGTTGCACAATCAGAATGTTTGAATCACACAGAAAATGAAGTTGAACCCTGGATGAGTCAGCTGAGGGAAGAGAGGAGCACAAGGGTAAAACTGGGTGGGAGGGGAAGTAGAGAACAGACTCCAGCCCTGGAGTGGCGTGCCCAGGGAAGAGTCCTCTGCAATCTGCTGCTGCTACAGACAAGATGGGAGAATGCTGAGCTCACCCATTCTCTGTGTCATGGTTCATCCACATTCCTAGTCCCAGCAAACTGCTGAAGCTGGGGTTGGGTTGGTGGTTCTGGGCCTCCCTCTCCTGGGGGACAGCAAAATCTCTTCTGGGAATGAGATCTGATCAAACTTCAGAGCTTATCACAGAATCCCAGAATGGTTTGGCTTGGAAGGGATGTTGAAGCCCATCCCATCCCACCCCCTGCCATAGGCAGGGACACCTTCCAGTAACCCAGGGTGCTCCAAGCCCAGTCCAACCTGACAGGGGGATGGAACTGGATGAGCTTTAACATCTCTAAACCATTCTGGGATTCCACAATAACAATTCCCTACTCACCTTAACATCCCCAAGTGCTGCTGCTCCGCAGTGTTTTCCCAGGAATTTTCACCTGAGCGAGCTTCACTTGACCAGCACTGTGTGTTCTGCTGCAGCACCACTGTGACCTGCGCCCTGCCAGCCCCACAGGTGACAATCCAGCTCAGGAGCTGCCAGCCCAGCCCCATGGGGACAGACAGGAATCACCAGAGCCAGCTCGGCGACGCATCCGGCACCAAGGTTTGGGTGTTGCCTGAGCTCCCCTGAGCTCCCTGGGGAGATGCTGTTACCCTGTTCTCTCTCAAAAATCTTCATCCTGTGCTCTTGGTCTGGGTTTAGGGAGGGAGGATTAAATCACTGGAGCTGTGTCCTTGGGGATCCTGGGGTGGACACTGGGGTCGTTCTTGATGCTGAAGTTACTGTTCCTGTTCAGCTCCACGTCCTGTCCCTGCAGGAGATGTTTCTCCTTGGCACGCAGAAGGCTCTGGGAAGCTGGGGCTGTGCCCTGCTGCAGGGACCAGGCTGAGGATGGAGGTGGCCAAGGCTGGGAATGCAGCGTTGTCCCCTCCAGGGAGAGCCGGTGACGCTCCGGCTGTGCGGGGCAAGCCCGGGAAGGGGAGTGGCAGCGAGGGGACACGGAAGGACAGAGGTGACTCTGCAGCTGGGACAGCACCCCGGGCAAGACCTGCTCGGCACTTCCAGGCAGAAACCTTCACTTCCAGCTCCTCCAGAGCTTCTCCAGCCCAGCCAAGGTAATGCCTTTGCCTTCTGGTCCATTCCCCTTCTGATGGTGCAAATCTGGATCCCCTTGGCTTTGCCTGTGGCTGAAAAGGTTTTCAAAGGCTTTCAGATTCACCCAGTTTCATTTTGCTGGTGCTTATCTGAGTTTCAAACAACAAATTTAGGTTTTTACCTCAAAATAGAACAGACCCACTGGTCACTGGGATAAAATGTAGGTTCAGGCCTCATTACCTGTCCATGGGAGCACTCTGCTCTCACTGGGCTCTGAACAGGAGCTGGTTCTGCTGCTGAAACATCTGGGCCAGGGTCAGAGGAGACTCAAGGGCCTCTCCCTTGACCTTCCCTGTCTCCCTGCTGTGCTGTCCTGTGTGTATCCAGCACGGGTGGCTTTGCCTCCTCTGAAGGTGTCCCTGTCCCTGTCCCGCAGCTCCAGCATCGCAGGAGGAAGGAGCCTGGGGCTGCTGGACGGGCGCAGCGGCCTCCGGCGCCGGAGCTCCAAGGTGAGGCTACAGGAACAGCTCCTGATGCTTTTGCCAGGACAAGGAGCTGCTTTTTACAGCCCTCCCTTACGAGGTCATATTTGAAAACTGCACTTCTCTTTTCCCCCTCCCATAAGGCAAAAGCCCAGAGCCCAGCAGCCGGACACCCGGAGGAGTGAGCCAGTGCCTGTGGAAAACGTGGAGCACCCGGCCCTGCCCCCAGGCTCTGCCAGACCCCTTGGTCCAAGCGCAAGCAAATTCTGACACTGAGCTTCAATTTTTAGGCAGTGACCATTTTCTAAATCTCTTTTTAATCTGTGAGAGCAAACTTCAGGTTTTTATGTCTCTGATCGCCTCAAGCACCACCCCCAAGGCATCAAATTGAGTCTCACCTTGGGCTCCCCCTGAGTTCTGTGTCCGTGTGGGCTCCTTGTGCTACCCCAAGTTCTGGGTGCGTCCTGCCCTGGAATGTTCATGGACAGCTGGTGACACCAAGAGGGAGCAGTCAGTGCTCCAGACCTGTCCCACACAGAGCAGGCTTGAGGGATTGGGGCTCCAAGGCTTCTCAGTGCTGCATTTTCAAGTTTAAAGCTTTTTAAGTTTCTTGGAATAAAATTTCTCTGATGCTGTCCCAAACAGTTGTGCAGTGCCATCTGTCCCCTGGGGTGACACAGGAGCACAGCCCCTGGCTGAAGCTCCATTGCCCCTGTTATTCCCTGCCCTGGGTTCTGTTACTGTTGGACTCCCTGGGGCTTTGGGAAGTGGAGCAGATCCTGGGTAACACCTGTGAGCATCAGCCTAATTAAGGAGGTGCAGCAGATGGCACTGGCAGGGCTAATTAGCCACCCCTGGGGCAGGGTCATTACCCAGGCCTTGTCTCAGGTGCCAGCTCCATCCCACTGGAACAGCCCAACAAAGGCTGGAGGGAACTCCCTCCTAAAGTAAAGACATTTTACAGATGCTCCCACCAAATGTGTTTATTGAAACAAGAGAAGAAGAATAAAAGTATTTAAAAACAGAGGGACACCAAAACTCTGGTTCTTCCCATTCCTGGGGAGAAGAGCTGTGGGAAGATCAGGGAATGGGAGCTGGTCCCTGATGTTTGGGATGGATAATAGGATGCTGTGGGTCAAGAATCATTAAGTATGACAAATAATTAATGACTGAGGTGGCAGAGCCTGTGCTGTGCCTCAGGCACAAGGAATATCCCAGAGGAACAACCTCAGCAGTGGCTGAGGTGCTTCCCTTTGGTACAAAATGCTGATGTGCTCCAAGCACACACAAAAGCCCAGAGAAGTGGGATTCCAGCTGAGAAGCTGCAGCTCCCTCTCTCCCCCTGCTCCTGTGCCTCAGGCAGCTCCAGCAGCAGATCCCATTCCCTGCAGCCCCAAAGAAGGACACGAACACCTCCAGGGATGTTAAGAATCTCCTTTATGCAGGTGTACACTCGATGGCCAAGAGCACTTACAGGTTAATGCCGTGTATGGAACCGAGATGGACACACACCAAGCTAGAACTAATACCCAGCTCCAGAGTTTTTCCATTGTTTAGTATAATTTTACATTCTGAATGAATATATATTAAAAAAAATAATAATAATCATCACAAACCAATCTTTGCTTCGACAAACAAGCCTAGTACAGACAATGTCAAGTTCATTTAAAGCACGAGGAATTAAGGATGATTAGAAAAGCTTTAATTAAAAGGCCATTTGAGCCACAGCTGAGGTGCTGCAGCACTTCCTTCCCAGGAGCATGGAATTAAAAAAAAAAAAAAGCCAAAAATCTCCCACAATTCCTCTTGTGGGGTTCATCCTGTTCTCCAGAACAAACCGAAGTCGATGGAAGTTGGTTATTGGTGCGACATTTGTCCTGTAGAAGAAGCTTCATTTACACCCCCAGGTGCAAACGGCAGCGACGAGAAGTTCGTTATTTGTAATCATAAATAATTAACTGTAATAAATACGGATCAAGTAACGTTCCAGCACACGCCCGGGGCCGGGTGCAGGTGTGCTCCACTCGGATGTGCTTCCCAAAGGAGCACACACACAGCAGCAGCAGTTTCTTACTCACAGCTGGAACTGGAGCCTTGGGAACCGCTGGCACACGGAGCCCTCTGGGATGGCCCCTCGGCATTTCGGGATTGGAGCCCAGGAGAAGCCCAGAGAGAGCCCAGCCCGGGGCCACAGCTCTGCCATGGAATCCAGCCGGCGTTCCCCACCTTTCCTGCCTGGGAACAAACCGGCTCCAAGCCGCCCCTTCGGCTTCCTTTTCCCTTGGTCTTTGTAAACTCCAGGTGTTCCCGCTTGCTCCGAGTGGTTTCTGAGCTACATAAACGCTTCTACCAAGAAATGGACGAGATTCAAGAGTAAATATTCTTCCTACACGGATCCGTTCCCTGGACAGGGCAATATGCATTGGGAGGGTAACAGCTTCCTAACCACGGGGTTGGGAGACTCCGGATGCCGACGACTACCTACGAGTGCTGCACACACATTCCCATTCCCACTCGCTCACGGAAGAACAAGGACACCCATCCCGAACTCACACGCCTCTCCCGCATCCCACGCGCTCAGCGTTCCCACTATTCACAATAATGTACAATAAATACATCTGGGATTCCCGGGAGCTGTTCTGCAGCCAGGGGACACCGAGCTGAAGGTTCAGTCACCTCAGCCAGAGCCTCCCGGGCGGCTCCGCGCCGGCACTCGGCTCACGGACAGCACCGACGGATTCTGGGACGGTCTCTTCCTCAGAATTCAGGATCCGAGGGATCAGCAGAGCTGGAGTGTCCCAGAAATCCTGCTGAGGGATGAGACACCTGTGGAGGGGCTGCTCTGAACCATCCAGAACGTTCCACGGAACACCAGTGGAACGTGGCGTTGTTCCTGCTCCGCAGCTGCCTCCCAGCTTTCCACACAGAACAGGAGCTTTATCTTCCAACGGGTGACTTCACCCTCCTGCCGGGTGTCAGAAGTTTTTAAGATAATTTGCTCTTGGATCAAAGATTTTTGAGTACAAAAACAAGTTCCAGGTGTTTGAGCACCCCCTGGTTGTTCTGAGAGCTCATTGGGAAATGGGATAAAGTCCCGGATTTTTGGGATGGACTGTGATATCTTACACCCTTTGGAGAGAAGCTGTTTTGTTCTGCTCACATTTTAATTACAATAAATTATTTTGTTGCTAAGCAAAGCAGACATTCAAGAACATCTAGGGCAGGAACCAATGGAATCACAACCCTTTCACTGTTCTATTGGAAATTTTCCCAAAAGTGTTGAGCTGAACCCCCCAGTTCCCTGTGGCAGCCCCCATGTGCTTGGTCAGAGTTTAGAAAAATTTCAAGGAAAGTGGTGGAAAGGTGGAAAAGCAGTTTGGCAGCAAAGTTCTGCTTCAAACCTCAAGCAAGTGCCACAAATCCTGCCTGTGCTCTGCACCTGCCCATGCAGTGATTCCCTCCCCACACCCAAACCTGGCACTTTTGTACTCAAAAACCTCTCGGGGAGAGCGATCCATGAGCCTTCCCCTCCGAGGGCTCCCGGCCTCGGAATGCCCTCCCTGCCAGTGGTGTTTGCACAGGGCAGACCATTGTGGATTACAAAATTAGAAATGTACAGGTGGAAAGGTTTTTTCCCCCAAATTAAATTATACACAAACCGGTCTTTACTAAACTATCCTACAAATATTCCACAAACAAGGCAGCAAAAGAACCAGTCCACCACAAAGTCTACGAATACAAAATGGAAGTCTTCCGGGAATTACTGTAATGGGAACGAAGGTTCAGGAAATAAATTAACCCCCAGCTCATCCCACGGGAGGTGCTGGATGGGAACTGAAGGGGTTCCACTGGGCAGAGTCACGGAGTCACCTCCAGGCATCCCCTGCTCCTGCTCAGCCGCTGAGCGGATCCTCCCGGTAGTGGATGGCGTAACGGAGCTTTTCCAGCATGATGTCCAGCGAGGAATACTGCGGCAGCTTGATCATGAACATGCACGTCTCCACTCGGATGTACCGGGAATCCGGGGAACCTGCGCGACAGCCACGGCAGGGGTTAACACCCAACCCAACACCTCCTTCCTCATGGGATCCAAAATCCAATCCCTCCCTGTCTCTCTAATCGTAAATGTTTTGTGCTTCTCTCCCATCAGGCCTCGTGCCAGTATTTTTACAATAGTTTAATGATTTTAAAAGCATTTCAGACAAATAGAAAAGCAATCTCTGCATCTCTAAAGGGCAACGTTCTGTGGAATCCCAGAACAGTTTGGGTTGGAAGGGATCTTAAAGCTCCAGTTCCACTCTCCCACCATGAGCAGGGAACTTCCCACTGGATGCAGTTCACGTTTTATGTGAAATTTTAGCTTTACATCATTTAAACCCCAATTCTCTCCTGATTTACCCTCATAACCACCTGCCCCTCTTTGTCCCTGTTCATTAAACACCAGTTAAAGGGGGGCTGAAGGCTGGGATAGAACAGAAGCAGCTCCTTTCCCTCGGGAAGTGGCCGTTCCGTACCTGCGGCGCCGTCGGGGGGGGCGATTTTCATGGGGTAGGGGGGGACGTGGGCGGTGTCGGGGCCGCCGTCCTTGCAGGGGCAGGTGAAGGGGATCCTCTCCTGGTTACAGGCAAACTTGATGAACTTGCAGAGCTCCTCCTGAGTGAACATCTCCAGGGCGCTCCAGAAGAACTCGATGTGCTGGTCGGTCTCCATCAGTCCCACCTGGTACATGGTGTGTGCCTGAGGGGACAGGGACACGTGTCCACTGCTGCTCACCCCTCTCCCTTCAGGAACCTTCCCCACTACACTTTTAAATAAAGGAAGTTCAAACTCTTACTCCTTTCTGCACAAGCCCCACCCTTTTATTTCCTGAATCCAGTGAAATCTTAATAAACTTCCCTGGGGGCAAAGGGATGTCCAAGCAGTTCCCCAAGGATGTCGTGGCTGAGGAACCAAAACCAGAAGATTCTCCCCTCCCACCTTCCCATGGGAGGATCCCCCTCTGTGTCCCACAGGAGTGTGGCCAAAGCACCTTGAGGAATTCCAGATTGATGTAAGGAAGGCCACAGGTCCTCAGCTCCATCTCCAGGGGGGTGAGTGTGGTCAGGAGCTGCAGGGGGATGATGGAGCCCAGCCCTGCCCTCACTGCTGTCATGCACTCCGGGGTCTGCAGCTCCCGCATCCGCAGGCTCCGGATGGCGGCTGCGTACACGTCCTTGTTCTCCCACCTGCAGGGGCAGAGACCTGGCATGATGGAGGAACACCTGGGAGAGCCCTCGAGCCCCACCCGTGTTACACATGGAAGGGTCTTATGGAGAGATCCTGACCTGGAACAATCCAGAGTTAGCAATACACACTCTGCATTCCGATGCTTCCCACTTAATTCTGCTGTCCTCCCACCTGCCCATCCCTCTGGGAGCCCCCACAGCTGGGACCAGCCCTGCTCCTCTGTCTCTTACAGAGCCAAACAGCACCACTGACCCCAAGTTCTGCCAACTTCTCACAAAGCAAAGCTTTCCCAGATCATTCCAACTTGTTACAAAAGCACCTCTGGAGAGGCTGTGCTTGGAGAACAATTCCAGAGACGTTCTGTGCCACATCCTGCCTGGAAGGTTGCTCCTTACCCCACAGGGATGTGCCTGCCCCTGGGACACAGCTCCACCTCCTCCCCAGTGAGGCTCAGGTAGGTGAATTTGCAGCAGGGTTTGTTGGGGCAGTCGGGGCTCTCCATGGCCAGGTGCTGGGAGGCGATTTCGGCACACAGAGCTTCCAGCTCCGTCTCGTCACTGATCTGTCACAGAACAAGGACAAGGACCTGGTCACCAGCACGGCAGTGCCTCGTCACAGGTGTCCCCACAATGGGGACTCACTCCAGCAGCAAAATCCTGCTTTGGGGGTTCTGGCCTGGTTTAGCAATTCCAGTAAATATTTCAGAAGCCGGAATTCCACTGTGCCAGGCAGCAGGGGAGCGTGGGAAACTTCTCCAAGGCAACAGGATGTAAAATCCTGCATCCAAGAGGAATCAACCCATCTCTCAACCCTGCTTCCACAAAAACCACCTGGCAGCCACCAGCGAGGGCAGGCACATTTGTGCTGTGGGGGAATCCTGAGGAAAAGGAGGGAAGAGGAAAAAGGGACCTACATTTTCAAATTTTTTGACGTAGTTGTAGGTGAGGATGTCAGCTTCCTGCAGATCCACGTCAGGATCCAGGGGCTCTCCCACCAGGGTCTTCCAGAAGGAGGGCAGGAGGTCCAGGGGCAGAGGAACATCGGCTCGGATGGCGATGCCCAGGAGCTGCCCAAAGAAATGGAACAGCTGCTCCTCGGCGTAGGTGATGGGGCTGGGGGTCAGGATGTACTTCCCCTGTGGAGAGAACAGGGCACACAGGGCAGCACTGAGCAGCTGCCCACAGCCTGAGGGGCTGGCTGTTAGCAGGCCTGAGCAAGTATATCCTTCCTGCTCCAGCCAGGAAATGTTCAGCTGGACACCAAAGGATCTGCTCCCGCACAGTGGGAGTCCCTGTATTTTACACACTGGTATCACCTTATCTTATCACTTCCTGATCCAATCAACCCCTTTTTGGTTGGTTCCCATTTTGCCAAGCTGTTGACAACACTCACAGGATTTTCTGGACTTGTTACATCAGTTTGATATCCAAGTCTTTCAGCTGTGAGATGTTTCTGAACCTGGATTTGCAGAGCCAGGTTTGCTACACAGTTGGTCTTAAGCTGAGGGAACTGAGCTGTTTCCTACCCTAAGAATATTCCAAGGAATTACTGAGAATTCTTTGGACCATCAACTTTATCTTGTTTCTAGAGAACATCTACTGCACCAAATAAGACACTAAATACCATGGATGGAGCACCTTATTCTCCTGGCAAGGTGACAGACCTGTCTGGTGACATTCCTGGAGTAAGGCCACAGAATAAAAATTCATGGAAGTTCATCGGTTTGGGGCAGACAGAACCTCACTCACTCTTGAGTGCTGCCCAGGAGTTTTAACTCTGCTCCATTTTGCTGCCTTGGCTCCTTCTCCAAGTACTTGCTGCACACAAGAGGTGCAACATGGAATTCACCAACTCCCAGGATGTGGGACCTGCTTGGTTTCATGGATCTGAGGCCTCTCTCTGCACCTCTGACCAAATGTGTCCCACTCCTGCTCTAACCCAGCAATCAAAAAGAGAAAAAAACCCTCATTTTTGGCACGGGGATCTCACACCTTGTTCTTATTGACAGCAGAGCTGGGGCACAGCAGGAGCAGGGAGAGGGAGGAGCTCTGGAGCTCTTTACACACTTGCCAAAGGAAGTGACGGAAAGATCCACCTGGAAAAGAGAGAGGGAAAAAAATGAAAATATTCCTTTGTTCCTGCTGAATTCCTAAATGCTGTTTTGCTTTCCAGCACTCCAAGAACAAAAGGAATATTTGTTCTACCAGCTGGCCTGCATATGGGATTTGGTGCTGGATTAGGAGATGGATGAGGCTGTCCTACAACAATGGAGGTGATGCTCCAGGCTTCAGCACAGCTGCTGAGCCACAGCCACAACATTTATCTCCTCATAAACACTGTCAGTACCACCACAGCCTTTCAGAAGGCAATAATTCCCCGTGGGAGAAGGCTCCATGGAGCCTTGGCTCAGCTGGTGGCTGTACACACTCCCTTTACACCTCAGACAGGTGACAGGAGCTGGTCATGTCAGAAGTGTGACTCCATATTCCCCCATGGATCTCCACCAAGGACCAGCACAGCCCATGTAGATCTGGAGAGCAGGAATCCCTTTGCTCTTTAGGATCTGTCTCAATATCCTATGGAACAGCTCTGCAAAGCTGAAATCCCTCATCCAATGGTTTAAACCCAATGTCCTCCTGGTGCAAACATTCCAGGGGGATCCCATTCTTTTCCATCCACAAGGGAATGCTGCTCCTTAAAGTCCACATGAGACAGGTCATGGTGAAGAGCTGGGCTGTCCCTGTCCCCACTCCCTGGTGCCATGACCCCCTTATTCCCACTCCCTGCTGCCACAGAGCCCTGTCCCAACTCACTGGTACCCTGTCCCCCCTCCCTGGTTCCCCATCCCCTGTCCCCACTCACTGGTGCCACGGACCTGCTGTCCCTGCTTCCTGGTGCCATGGAGCCCTGCCTCGACTTCTTGGGGCCATGGAGCCCCTGTTCCCACTCCCTGTCCCCCTGTCCCCACTCCCTGGTGCCAATGAGCCCTGTCCCTGTCCCGTGTCACTCACTGGTGCCGTGCACCTCCTCCCCGGTGAAGCGGATGTTGAAGGCGTAGGTGGGGTCGCCCCCGCTGGCCAGTTTGACGCAGAGCTGGGACGAGGGGACGCAGCCCAGCTGCCGCGCGGCCTGGCAGAAGTAGGAATTCTCAGAGGAACGGATCTCCCCTGTCCAACACAAAGGGGAAAATGAACCTCCAGCCTCACAAAGTGGCAGCTGAGCTGGGGGAAAGCAGCTCTGAGCTGTTGGGGTTGGAGAGGATCGGTGCTGGCTGTACCTCCAACGATCTCCAGGGGATCCAGGGTGATTTCTGGGGCCGCGTGGTCAGCAGTTCTTTGGACAGTGGCATTGAGCACTCTGTTCATGACAGTGACTTTTGTGTCATAAAAGATTAAACCTGAAGAAACAAACACATTTCAGCAGAGTTAATCTACCCCTGAAATTCTCCAGTGGAAAGTGGTAGAATAAAAATTTCCCCTTCAAAACTGTACGTAAGACACGGCTAATCTAAAATTTTTTTAAAAATTATTTCACAGTATCATGGAATGGTTTGCATGATTCCACTCATCCAGTTCCACCAGGGACACCTTCCATAGTCCAGGTTTCTCCAAGTCCCATCTATTTGTTCCTCATGATTTTTGGAATAAGTGCACTGGGATGAAATACTGATGAACACAATTCCAGTGTTCTATAAATAGATCCCAGCAACTCCACCACAATCTCTGTAAATAGGAACACGTTGCCAAATAGTTTTCAGCAATCTGAGATGTTTTGACAGTAAAGCTACAGGCAAGAAACGATGATAAAAAATAGGGCTGTGACACTGCCCCAAAAATATATTTAATACCTCATATCTCTGTGAAGAGAAATCTCTGAACATTCCTCACTCCCCCACACTGGTTCAGGAGTGTTTTTTTCCAGCTGGGCCAATACAAAAACCTCCTTTCACAGACTGACACCCCTGGTGAGTGCTGTAACTTCTTCAGAAAACGAATCTGGGCAATGTAACGCCCCAAATCTTGGGGTTTTTGGTGTCTAATGAAGGCTGCAAAAACACTCTGATACACTTTGAGAATTTTCTTGATCTTGCTAATGCTACAACAGCAAAGTCCTGAGACTTTCACCTGACCTGCTTGATAATTAACAAAGTTTTGATTTCTAGATACTCCCAAGAGGATAAAGACACAGAGATACAGAAGATAGAAGAACTCTCTCTGCGGTTGTGGTGTCACGAGGATAATCCCCGTTCTTTAAAAGCAAACCAAGAGAGAAGTGCCCTGTGGTCAGTGCCCTGTGGTCAGTGGCCCTTAGCAGTGCCCTGTGGTCAGTGCCCTGTGGTCAGTGCCCGTGGTCATGCCCCATGGTCAGTGCCCCGCTGACCTTTGGCCTCCTGCAGCAAGGCAGCGATGCTGTTCCCGTACATCTCGGTCTGGCGCAGCTCCACCAGCGGCAGGAAGAAAGTCTCCAGGGTGGTGTTGAGGGACTGCAGCAGGGCAAAGCGCAGCCTCAGGCTCTCCACGGGGACATCTGCATGGGGAAACTCCCAGTCAGGGACAGAACAAATCCCTGTTCCACCTCCTGCAAATCCCAGCAGGTTTGGTCCAGGAGCCACACAAAGCAGCCCCTCTGATCCCTGTGCCGAGGATGCAGGAACAGCATCCCTGATGTTCCTTCCTGTATCTCCAGTCTCTGGGTGTGAGTCCAGAATCTCCCATTATCAATGAATTTTCCTCCTAAAGTGCTTAGGACAGGATTTAGGTGACTAAAATCTGTGCAAATCCAGCCTTCCTTCCCCTGCAAGCTGAACTCACTAGGTACTTCCTGCTCCAGCCTGAGCTGGAAACTCTGCTTGGAGAGCAGGAAGCAGCTGCAGTGCATCCCTGACTTTGCCCAAGAACAAAGTTTTGATTTCTAGATACTCCCAAGAGGATAAAGACACAGAGATACAGAAGATAGAAGAACTCTCTCTGCGGTTGTGGTGTCACGAGGATAATCCCCGTTCTTTAAAAGCAAACCAAGAGAGAAGTGCCCTGTGGTCAGTGCTCTGTGGTCAGTGGCCCTTAGCAGTGCCCTGTGGTCAGTGCTCTGTGGTCAGTGGCCCTTAGCAGTGCCCTGGGGTCAGTGCCCTGTGGTCAGTGCCCCGCTGACCTTTGGCCTCCTGCAGCAAGGCAGCGATGCTGTTCCCGTACATCTCGGTCTGGCGCAGCTCCACCAGCGGCAGGAAGAAAGTCTCCAGGGTGGTGTTGAGGGACTGCAGCAGGGCAAAGCGCAGCCTCAGGCTCTCCACGGGGACATCTGCACGGGGAAACTCCCAGTCAGGGACAGAACAAATCTCTGTTCCACCTCCTGCAAATCCCAGCAGGTTTGGTCCAGGAGCCACACAAAGCAGCCCCTCTGATCCCTGTGCCGAGGATGCAGGAACAGCATCCCTGATGTTCCTTCCTGTATCTCCAGTCTCTGGGTGTGAGTCCAGAATCTCCCATTATCAATGAATTTTCCTCCTAAAGTGCTTAGGACAGGATTTAGGTGACTAAAATCTGTGCAAATCCAGCCTTCCTTCCCCTGCAAGCTGAACTCACTAGGTACTTCCTGCTCCAGCCTGAGCTGGAAACTCTGCTTGGAGAGCAGGAAGCAGCTGCAGTGCATCCCTGACTTTGCCCAAGCACACCCAAGGAGAGAGAAGAGCCAGACTCAGCACTCCCCTCATCCCACCCAGCCTCCAACCCCCAAAGGAACACCAGGAGCACTCCAACTCTTCTCCTGAAAAAAGCCTCTATGCCAGCCATCCCTACATACTCAGGAGACAGGAAATCCTGGGATCTGCAGCATCAGCTGGGTCCAGGTACACCTCGTGGGGGTGCAGGCGGGCGGGGGTGATGGCCAGGTGGCGGCACAGGCGGTTGATGTACTGCACCAGCGCCACGTCCATCTCCAGGCTCCACTTGCGCGACGCCTTCTGCGCGTGTCGGGCGTCGATGCAGGCACACCTGGCAGGGACAGGGCAGAGCTGCTCGCTCACAGGGTGCTGGACAGCCACACCTGGAGTACAACTACACCTGGAGTACAACTACACCTGGAGTAGAAGCTGGTGCCCTGCTCTTCACCCCCCTTTCCTTAAGCAGAGCTGTTCCATGACAAGAATCCCAGTGTGAGGCCAAGAGCTGATTCATCAGCCACTTCTCCTCACTGGTATTAAATAATTAGGCACAAAGGCACTGCCTATTAAGCTCTCTTAGTGCACTATCTCCTCTGGAGATGATAAGGGGCAATTAGCCTATGGCCTGACACAGGCAGATAAGGAGAATTAATTTAAGGGACTTTCGTCCTCTACAATATTAAGAAGAAATTTAACAGTTCCCTCTTCTAAAGCGTTTCTGACCCAGTAACAACCCTGCCAGTTAGACAATGACCCAGTGCACTGCTGGGGAAGGAAAGCAGAGACAGACATGGAGCCACAGTTCCCTCCAGGTAATTTATTATATAGTTTGGAAGCTCTAAAGGACACTGTGGCATCTGATTTTATCAGCCATGCTGTGCTGACAAAGAAATCAGGACCTGCATTTGGACAGCACACGACTTTTAAAATGCATTTTGAGGAAATAACTGATTTCCCTACAGGCCTTGCAGCCATGGATGGAAGTGTTAAAGCTTCTTGGATTAGGAACACTTGGGTTCAAGTGAGCACAGTGAGTAAGTAACACCCCCTCAAAGAGGTTTGCAAGCTGTACCTCTCAAAGTGCAGGTCGTAGCCACAGGACAGGATGGCTCTCCACACGCTCCGGATGTCCTGCTTGGAGCGGTCCACCACGAACCGGTGAAACCCATCCAGGGTCAGGTACTTCTCCTCAGGAACTGCCACCAAATGTGGACCAGCAAAGAGTTCATGACTTGAGTTCATGAAGTGCTCACCCCACCAGAAGCAGGAGGTGGCTGCTGCCAGCCTCCTCCTGCTGTCCCACCCCACCATGGACCCTTTCCAGGGAGTTCCATCTATCACACGTTGGTCAGGTCCACCTCAGTCAATGGCACCTTCTCACTCCCCTTAAGGGCTCAAATCCCCCAGTGGGATTGGCTGGATGCTGAAATTCCCCTTTTCTGAGCTAACCTCGCACTTTCTGCCAGGAAGAGGGGAGTCCAAACTCGTCTCTGTTCACTCTTCCAGCAGATGAAAGATCTGAGCACAACCCCTGTCCCCCATGGCTGTGCTGTCTCCTCCAGAAGTTCTGAGGTTTCTCAATCATCTTTTTTATCCATTTTCCCACTTGTAACTGAAGAATTTCCCAATGTAAATTGAGAAGCACAATTTAAACCCACCTGGTTCAAATTCATAATATCCCAAACCCTCACTACACCAAAGCCTTGGAACTACCCCTTAGGAAGTTTTCTGTCTGGTTTGTTTTCATGCCCTACACACTGCTGCAAGAACTGTTTGCTCTCACACTGATGGGCCCAGATTCACAGAGACACAAATAAAAGCAGCATTTTAAATCACTATTTAAAAAAAAAAATTAGTTAGACTTGTTAGAAATAAAGACAAGCCAAATCTATCATGAAGTCATATAAACATGTCAATAAAAATATTTTTCTACGATAAAACTGTAAAAAATTCTCTGCAGCTCCCACCTTCCTGTTTCTTAGTGGGAGACTTCTCAGGGTCCTTCTCCTCAGGTTTGCTCTTCTCAGGAGATTTGGGCTTTACAGTGGGTTTCTTCTCACTTAAGGCTGTTCGGCTGAGGGACAAAGTGGGTGTTAGGATCAAAAGTTTTCTTTCATCTGCTCACAAAATCCCAAAATTGTTTGGAAGGATCCTAAAGCCCATCCAGTCCCACTCCTGCCATGGATTACTCCAAACCCTGTCCAACCTGATCTGTGTTTTGGGATAAGTGCACTGAGACAGAACACTGATGAACACAATTCCAATGTTCTATAAACAGATCCCAACAACTCCACCCCAATCTTTGGAAAAAGAAACAATTTGCCAAATAATTTCCAGAAACCTGAGATGCTCTGACATTAACACCACTCCCTGTTCCAATACACAGAAGCACAGAGGGATGTGGGATAGAAACCTGGATTTCTACAGTGAAATCCAATATTCCACAAGTGCCACAAGGCTGAGGACACCCACCTGACACTGTTGAGCATGGACTTCTCCTTGGTGGGGGGTTTGGTGACCGGGCGCTTGGTGCTCACCACCTTCACCGGGTGCTGCTCCTTGCCTGCCTTGTTGTACTTGCTCTTGTCAAATTTGGGCTTGGGAACTCCATATTTCCTTAAAATCTTCCAAGACAAAAAGTGAATCATCACCCAGTGCTTTCAAGGGACACCAAAAGAGGCTGAGAACAGCTGGCAAAGCACTACCTGGGTGAGCTGGTCCTCCAGCACCTTCTTGGGAGGGCGGACGTTGGTGAAGAAGACGTGGAGGAGGTTCCCAGGGGTTTGGGAATTGATCTGCTCCTTGCTGAGGTAAATGTCAGCCACCTTGATGGGCTTGGCTGGGGTCAGGCTCAGCATTTGTTCCGAATGGACACAGCTTTTAAAGATCTCTGTGAGAACTTCCCGAGCACCTGGGACCAGTTTTTCACCTAATTAAAAGAAAACATGCAATTTGGTACAACATGCCATGAGAACTGGTTAGAATTTGAAATGTGAAAATAGATTTTGCATTTAGGTAAAATATTCTGCTTTGACATGGAAAATCACTTTTGCAGGGGAAAAAAAATCACTTTTTCAGTGGAAAATCTGCTCCTTCTGCACCCCATTAAAGACAGAATTGGCCATATCCTGTAATTATTACTTGAGGGAGTAGTGGGGATGGAAAAAGCAGTTTATTTATCATGCCAGGATAGAAATTATGTTGTGCAGGAACACACCAACATCTATCAACTGAGCTAGCAGTCAAAAGTTATTTCAGTGGCTGCTTTCTCAAAAAAAAAAACCCTAAAGAATTAAATCAGTAGTTCTTTGTGTTGATGAGGAGTGTTTATTTATTTATGATTTATCTGAGTAGCTGGGTGGACAACTGAGCAATGTTCAGCTTGCAAATAGCCCCTGGAGGGATAAAACTTACTTTGGAATTTGCCCCTGGCTTGTTGTCACCCCTGATTTATACTGAACCAAGGAGAGTCTGAGCCCTGCTCATCCCCCAAAATGCTGAACACAGGAGGGATTTGCCAATATCAAACCACCTACCTTTTATTGACTTATCATTGAAATAATCTTCTAGTGCTGGGCTCCCCTGGGTGTCAAACAAACTCTGATTTACAGTGGAAACAGTTAAAATCTCTTCAGTTGACATCTCCATGAGCTCATCCTCCCCATCCAGGCTGGACAAGCCAATGAGGTCACTGCTGTTGAAGAGGCTGGCTCGAATTTTCTCTATTTTAGCTCTTGACCTTATCTGTACAAATAATGAAATTAGTTCACAGCAATTCTGAGAAAATAAATTCACTTCCATTCATAGCAATTTGGGGTTTAAGCTTCCAGCCCCCTCCCCATTCTGATAATCTAAATAATTATTGCTTCTCTTCTCTGCTGCATCAGTAATTTGATGCCAAAATTCAGGTTCAGCCTAGAAAAGATCCTTTCTGAGAGCACTGAAATCCTCATGCTGGGAGTTAACCAGACACAGCTCTGATCCAGCTATCCCATTTCTCAGGCAGGAAACAGCCCCTGGGAACAGCAGGGAAGGAGCTGAAGGTGTCAGCCAGGTAAGCTGGCATTATTTGTAACTCTGCTGTCCCTGCCTCAATTCTCTACTCTGAAAAATCTCAATTAGCACAGGCCTTGAAGCCTCAGCTACACAGACTGGGAAGGGGAACAGCAACTTCCTTTGATTCCTAGAATAACCACTACCAGAGCAGCTCCAGACTTGGAACAGTTTCCATGTGAACACTCTGGCAGCGTTCTCTCCACACTTAATGCTTTATTTCAATGATGTCTTCACGTCAATTAACAGCTCAAGAATAGCAGCTTGCAGAGCTTTCATCTGAATAAGCTGATTTTCTTCTAAAAGAGGAACTGATACAATCCCAGACTATACAAAAACATCTCTCTCCATTCCCAGGCTATCAGGAATGGCTGTGCTTTTGGAAGCTCCTGATAAACCTCAGCAGGCAATCTGTGGAAGCAGCAGAGAGGAAGGTTCTTGTGCAGGGCTGAACACCTGCAGTGACCCAGTACTGATGGCAACCACCCACAATGCTTTTAAAAATTAATCTGGAACCAGACAGCAACAAAATTTATCATCTCTCCTGAAGTAGCTTCATAGAGAAACCCATAGGTGGTTCAAAATAGGTGAAAAGGTACTGATTAAACATTAAATAATTGCCTTGTAGGTCAAACCAAAAGGGTCCCAATCTCTAAATTCATCTCAGAGTGGCCAGAACAAATCTTAGAGAAAGGCACATGAAAGAGGAAATTAACTGATCTTTCCCCCTGACACATTCTCCCAGCCTCTGCAGAGCAGTTTAAATATTTCCTCAGTTGGAAGTTGCACTGGCTGCTGTGCTCCACAGCTACCAATCCTCCAGGAATTTAATCCCTTAAGAGTTCATTTATGGCCTTGGCTTCAGCAGCACTCTGTGAAAATGAGCTCTACAAGCTGGAACACACAGGAGTTCTTCCCTACTTCCTTCTGTTCTCCACTTGCTGCTGGATCACTCCACTACTGAGTCCCCTCTGTCCTTTGGGAGACAGGGATTGTTCCCAAGCCTGTTAATGTGGGGAAGGGAATTCTGTGCTCCTCAGCCATCCTGTCCAAGCTGAGACCTCCCAGTCTCCTGTGCTGTTAGACATACATTTACCATGGAAAAAGCCAGTTCCTAGAGATCCCATTCTCCCAAAAACCCTGGCTCCAGAGGCCCCTCTCTGTTACCTCCACCACGGCGAAGCCCTTGATGGGCCGTGCCAGCAGCGGCTGATTGTCCAGAGACGTCACCGTGTACATGGAGCCCACGTCCGACACCGACGCCGTCTCCACGTTGTCCAGGGGCTCCCCGAGGCTGCCCAGGCTGCCCAGGCTCCCGGTGCTGCAGTGGGAAAGATCCAAACTCTCCTGGCTGGACACCACGTGAGGCTGCTCCAGCAATCCGGGCGGGATGGGCAGCTCCAGCCCTGCCTGGAACTGGTCCACGGAGATGTCGCTGACGGTGCGGGATATCCCCTGGGAGCTGCAGAGGGAAGCCTGGCTGGTGGAAGCCGAGGCGCTGACGCTCATGGCGGGGGTGACGCTGCTGGAGCTGCTGATGTCCAAACTGTCAGCGCTGCTGGAAACTGTCGGCTTCTCCAGCTCCGTCCTGCACTCTCCTCCTTCTGCTTTGTCCTTGGTTTTTTTGGGATCCTCTTCCTGCAAAGGGATGTAGATCTCATCCTTGAAGACTCCCCCGTGGGCGTTGCAGGCCTTCCTGATGGCGTTCCTGACCGTGCCCTCCTCCAGGTGCGTGGGGATGCCGGAGATGACGAGCAGGCGGCTGTGGGCCGTGGGTCCCACCAGGGCCTGGCAGGCGTCTGCCACGGCATCGTTGGTCACACCCAGCCCCTGGGGGTCCTTCTTTGTCAGGTGTCTGAGGATTATCAGCAGGGTCAGAGCTCTGTGGAACCACAGCATGTCCTCAGGCTTGCTGCCCCCGATGCTGAGGAGCGCCGCGTCCGTCTCGGCCGCCCTGGATGAAGCTCTTTTCCCTGAAGATGAGGTTTTTTCCCGCTTCATTTTGACTTTTTTCCTCTTGGACAGCAAGCTCGGGCTCTGTGGTGTCTGCCCTGGGGAAGATGAGGACGAGGAGGAGGAGTCACTAAGATTTGGGGCACTGGTGGATGAGATCACATTGGCTGTCACGCTCATGTTGATGGGCAAGGTGACTTCTGCCACAGCCAGGCACACTTCCATCAGGGCATGGAAGTACGTGGAGAATCTTCCCTGGTCGGCCACTCCAACCCCAGAGCCACCACAGGCATTCCCAGACACCCAGTTCTGGGTTTCCTCATCGTAGAGCTTGTGCAGCTCTGACTGCAGGGCCATCAGCATGGCCAGGCAGGGGTTGAGCTGCAGGGCGATGGATGAGGACAATCCTGCTGGATTCTTCTTCTGCTCCAGATTGTGGATTTTGCGAAGCAGCTCGGCCAGGAGGTGAAAGATCAATTCCTTCACACACGCTGCCATGTCAGTTGTCCAGAGGAAGTTGCCTGTGTGAGGAAGGCAAGGCATGGCAGTCAGCAGTGCTTCACTCTCAGCAGAAAGTAACACTTAAAAAAGCACCAGAAAAGCTAATTTCAACGTCGTGGCAGCAGTAAGAAAGACAGGAAGGTTATTCCAAGAACTGCAGAATATTTCTGGAGGTTGAAGAAAATTTCATTATAGTGGAAGAGCTCAGAAAACTTCAACTGTAGTTTTTGTTTCCTAAGCTCTCCACCTGAGCCAGCACATTATCAGTGCTCATTACTAAGGAAATACTCCATTCTCACCTAAAAATTCCACTACTTGCAAGAGAACTGAGGCAGGAATGGTATCCAGTTCATCTTCAGATTTTCCATCCCCATCTTCTAATTTCCAGGTTAAGAGCTGTTCTGTGAATGCCATTGCCAGGGGGAATTCCAGGGGAAGGGAATGCAAGACCAGTACAGCTCCAGGAGGAGGAGATACTCCTAAGCAAAAAGGTCCAAGAAAATCTTCATCATGATTCTGAGCATTGATAAAGTCAAAGTAGTAACATTTAGGATTTTTTTCAAGGCTAAACTTCTGTTAAGTGAGAATTTTCTCTGCAGCACCTTGTAATAAACAAATAGGAATGTTTCTCTATATTGATAAGTTACTATAATCTGTAATTATAAATGTACAGAGAACATTTTATTCACATAAAGAAACAGAAAAATTATGAGCCTGAACATATGTAAATATACAAACAGAACTTCCCCCAAAATCCTTTATTTCTGTCTGATGGGTACTGAAAACAACAGAAGCAGAAGAACTTTAGGATCTCCAAGGGGAACTTTTAAGAACTCACTGCAGCCAGTCACCTTCACTGCTCTAAATCCCACTGTCTCTCCCTCTGGGCAAGAGTAAAAAGAAGATTAATGATTCTTCTTGCTGGAGTGACCTAAGTATTGCTACACTGTGTTACTCTGTGGATAAGAGGGTCCTACAAAGACCTAAAAAAGCAATAAAAAATTACTCTCCATCTGAAACAGCTCCTCAAACACCAACAGCACCAACACTGCACAAATTAGTATTTTGAATAAAATATTTCAAATACAAACACTGCTGGGTGAACTCCTGGAATATAAAAATCAGAATCACGTGGTTGACAGTGCTTATAAAACCAGGCTTTTTTGGTTAAGAACGAATTCCTTGTACAAAAATCCTGTCCTATCTGCTGCTAGGACTGGCGACCACACGGGAAGGCGCTGCAGAGGCCATAATGAAACTGCTCTCAGCCCTGAGAGCACAGTGAAGGCTTTCCCCTCGTGCAGTGGCTGTGCTCACCCAGTTTGATGTGCACCCTGTCCGTGGGGGTGATGACAGCTGGGTACTGGTTGGTGGTGGGGGGCGGCGTGAGGCCGGTGTTGGTGGGGGAGGCATCGCGGGGGTAGCACACGGCCTCGATCAGGTTCAGCTGCCCGTTCCTCTTCACCTTGTGCCCCAGCCCATAGACCAGCACCCGAGCCCAGGGGGCCTTGTACAGGGATGAGCTGGGGAAAGAGCAGCACAGCTTGGTTAGGCTCAAACCAGCTGGGAAATATCCCAGCCACCACTCAGGGTAAGTCTCAGAGAAGAGAAAAGTGATACAAAGTAAGTCCATCCCCAGGGTTGCCACGCTCAGCCAGCCTTGCCCCTCTCCATGACTCACTCTTTTCGGAACCCAGACTGACTTTCCTTGCAGGACACAATCACAAAGGCAGCCCCAGGAAAATTCACATCCATGTTGACCTTGGATTCAGAAATTGGGAATTCTTCAGCAGGAAATTGTTCTGGTGCCGCCTGTAACAGGACAATTCATCATGAGAGATCCCAAACAGCAGCAAACCTCCTCCCTCTTCTTTATTTATAGAGTGCTCTATAGCCAATGTATTTAATTAACTGCAAATTATGACACAGTGGGAGGCCACTTCATTTTAATTCAATCCAGAGCATTGCTGCTGCTTCTGTTTTCAGTGTGCCCACTGTAATCAGGATAATAGAACCCATCCAGAGAAACAATTCCCTGTGAGGGACAGCATCATGGAAATTTCAGCCACACAGAGAACAAGGGCTCCTGAGAAGGGAACCCAGCACTCTCATGAAACATGAGTGAGTATTTTACCTGCAGAAAGGAGCAGATCTGTTTGGTGAGGTCCAAGAGACTCTCCTCTCCCTGATGCAGTGTCCGAGTGATGGCCACGGTGAGCCACTCCCTGATGGCCTGGGAATTGCCCTGGTAGAAGAGGTCTGTGGCAGCACAGGTCTGGGAATGGATGCAGTGCTGCAGGGACTGGGCCAGGAGAATGGAGCTTGAGCTGATGGTTCCATCTGGAACAACAAGGAAAAAAGCCCAAATTTGGAGATCACTCCAAATGTTTACATAGCCTGGGAAACAAAAGCTGCAAAACACCTGAAAGATTCCCAGCCTGTTTTTAAGTGAAAAACTCCTTGCCTAAAAGTCAGCAGGAGAAAGGACACACCCAGGCCCAGCCTTGTGGCTGGGATGGCCTCCCCATGCCAGCTGTGCCCCTCACCTGCCTCAGTCCAGCCCCTGGTGAGGGCAAACACAGAGCTGTGGGATCACCCCAGCTCATTCTTAAATATCATCATTATTAACCAGCTAATAAAGAAATACCAAATCCATTAATTTTTTTTTGTCCCCAGAAAAATACTGTACCAAAGAAGAGCTGGGACAAAACCAAGTGTTTACCAGGAAGAGGTGGTGCAAGAAGCTGGTTGGAGAGCAGCTGCAGGTGCTCCAGGGTGATATCCCGGATGGCAGGAATGTGGAACAGCCGGGTGAACATGTGGGGAGATTTGGGAGCAAAAATATTGAGCAGAGCCATGCGACAGTAGAGCTTGGCCAGGGCAGCTTCACTCCTCAACAGCTCCCTAGGGAACACAAGCATTAATTCTGTTAATTCCTTAACATTAAATCCAACCACGACAGTAAGATTTCAGGAGTTTGTACTGTTTAGAACAAAGCTGTAGCAGGTAACTGCACTACAGGAAATGCTCTTCAGCTAATTCAAATTCAAGTACTGAAGTGCCTTGTAACCACATCTCTTTTTTCACCTGTGAATTTGGATGTTGGTGTTATCCAGGGTGACCAATCCGTTGGTTGCAGTCCTCCTGTACCCTGCAGGTGGCCTTTCCAACATGTCAATGGGATACCAGTACCTCACCAGGACCCCCTCACTCCGCAGGTAAGTCTCCACCTGGACCAGTTCATTCACCTGCAACACCAAACCGGCACTGTCAGTAACACGATAATTAGAACCACATTTTTCCTTCCAAGAGATCCCCAATCCAGCATCCTGAGCAGTTTTTGCTCCCAGCTGTGTGATGCTGATCACTGAATGTCCTCTCATTGTGTCTTTACTCACCGAGTCCACATCCAGGACAACCCCATGAAGACCAAATGTCTTCAGCATGCCCCGAATGGCAAATTTGGGCAGAGCTGTTCCTACAGCACTGCTGGTGACGTTGTTGCTGTCAGGAGAGCGAGTCACCACGGTGAGACCTGGCAGAAAGGGACACCACTTTGAAGGTGTTTTCCTCAGGTGACAATTAGATCCCAAAAACCCCTGAGCTTTTCTTTACCCCTCAGGATCTGTTGTGCTGCCCTTACCTTTCCGTACTTTATCAATTGTGAATTTGTTTGCTTCATCTTTGATATCCTCAATGGTGGGAAGGTAGAGATCCCTTGGGATGCCTCCATTTTCCTCATACAGGAATTCAACAGTTTGCCTTGCTATATCAACCATTCCTGAAAGACAGGAGGGAATGCTAGTTATTTCCCTCAGCCACTTGAAATAAGTTCTTATTCTCATTAATATCCCAAGCAGGTGAGTTTTCCAAGTACTTAAATACCCTCTCAGTCAGGCTCAAGGATGGAAATTGGGAGTTTTCCTGAAGAAGTTTTTCCTGAGCTTCTCATGGGGGCTCAGAATTCCTACTTTGCTCTGATTGTGACTTTCCCACAAACACATTGTCTTGCCAGAGCTGAATTCTACAAAATTTCCAAACCTCCCCTTATTATTACTTCAACCTAAAAAGTTTTGCCTTGATAGTCACAGACAGAAAATGCACAGATATAGTTTCTTCCCAAGCTATTATTCCAGAACAGTTCTGTATCCACATCACAACAAATTCTGTCACTATTTCTGAAACTATTTTCTCTCTATTTAAATAGTCAAACATAGTAAAAGTGTTAAAGAAAAAGCATGAGCACAAACCAAATTCTAAGCACTGGAGGGAAACAGCAAGCGATTTTTTTAAGTTTTCCAGCCCTGAATACAGTAAAATATGAAAGAAACACAACTGCTCTCTCAGACTTCCTGCACATCACAGAAAACAAGATGCATGGAAATAAATACATACCTAACTGTAAAGCTCCTTTAATCTGATCCAGCCCAGACTTCCTCTCAGCCTCATTACGGAATCTTCTTCTAATTGTAGGGAAAACCTTAGTTTCCCAGGCTTTGACCAAGAGGGCATAGTGATCCTCCTACAAAGACAAAAGTGTTTTAAACACCAAGAAGTGATAAGTTATCAGCAGTTATATTTTTGTAAGGGAAGCGGGAAGAAGTCTTGTGTGGTCAAATTTCAAAATTTAAGTGACAAGATCTGGTTTTAGGCTCTAAATTAGAGAAGGCAGAGTTTGCCACATTCCTCACCCTGGGAATATCATCGTCATCATCATCATCACTTTCATCATCTGCAATAGGAGGGGGATGAGGATCAGGGCCTGAGGTGATAAAGTTTTCATAGCTCAGCTCCATTTTATAGTGGCAGGATGTGTCACTGTCATACTCTGCAAGACACAGACAGAAATAATGAGATGATAATGCATGCAAAGACATCCCATGAAATTGGAGACATACAGCATTCCATGCTCTCCAATCAGGGGGTGGGAATTAAATTCCTTTTGACACAGCATAACCAATTGGCTGATCCAATCCACCGTGACATCCTATTGTATCCCAAGCCCTAACGAGATAATTTCTCATTGAGGCTGCGTTAATTATGAATAATTTGTGTATTCACATAGAGGAAGACCAAAGAAGATGTTTTAATTGCCTCGTCTAAAATCTGATAAACACAGCTTTGACATGTGGCACTGCCCCACCTAAAAAACCACTACCTAAGGACTAAAGACTGCAGCCAGGCTGGGCTTAAATCCTATTTCCTTGCTTGCCATTTCTGCTGGGAGGGCTTTAAAAGGAGCGAATGTCACTTTACGTTGCTGAGCCGTGGCGACAGCGGCGATCCTGCAGGGGGGCCCGTGGGTGCCAGGGTCGGAGGCGATGCTGGTGCCAGCGTCATTGTCACTGTCAGAGGCCATGGCAAAGGGCAAGGCCTCGAAGTTGGCACTGATCTCCTCGGCCAGGTCCAGGCACAGGTCGGCGGCGTTGCGGTGAGCCTGGCCCTCGGCGTAGGCAAACGGCCGCGAGCCGAAGTTCGCCCGCACCTTGGTGTTCTGCAAAAGGACATAGGGAAGCTCTCAGATCCTGCTCTGAGCCCTCACTCTGCCCCAGGCAGGAGCTGATCACACCTCTCCTGCCACCAGGATCCCCAGCTGGCAGTCTGGGAAGCCTCAAGCTGCTAAAGACAGGCTTTGAACTCGCCTGCTTTCCAGCTTCAAGCTGGGTGCTTGGAAGCAAGGCCACTGCTGGCCAGGAATGCTAAGAGAGGAGCTCCTGGCATGGCACAAGGCATCCTGCCAGGCCAGCTGCACACTGCTGTGCTAATGGGCAGGGAAAACCAAAATAATGACACAACACATGCACCTGGGAGGGCTAATGAATACCTCAACCTACCCAAGAAAGGTAAAAACTATCAATTTGCTTTTCTACAGAGCAGGTTCAATATTTTATATAATGTTTTTATATTTCTGAAAGTATATTAAGTGACATATTTCTGTTACAAACTTGCCTTTTTCTGAATGTGGACAACTGGCCACATTCCACCAGACACATCCTCTAGGTAGGGCACAAGTCTCTGCCCACAATATGTAAAATAAACTCTGCCCTTTGCTGGCTGCCCTGGAGGAGGGGGAGTTCCTTCTGTTCTTTCCCATCCAATTCCTGCTACATCACCTGGAGAAAAACACAATCATATAAAGGATTTAATCAGTTTTTTCATCCAGCATTTCCCTGATATTTAGAGGATTTTCTGATGGAGCAGATAAGGATTTTAGCCATACCCATACTGTTACATACCAGGGGAAAGAGTCACATCCAGTCTGACACTCTTCCACTGCAGCAGGCTGGAGCCATTGTAATGCACTGCTCGCCCATTGCTGAGGGGCAACAAGGACACAGTGAGACAGAGCACTGAGCCAGAGCAGGATCACCACCCACCAAAGCTGTGATACTCAAAAGACAACTCAACCCTCCTGATTCTGCAAAGATATTCCAGTCCATTTCAGCATTCAATTAAAAAGTATATATTGCTCACTACAGCCTCCTCCCCAGTCTGCTGACAAATGTACTGAACGTGGTTTTCCATGTGCATTTCCAACCTACTTGTGAAAGAGGCAGGTGCCCACTGGGTTTGTCCAAGCCCCATCCCGTTTCTCTGCCTCTGTGGCAAATCCAAAGGAAACTATTGGCCCAGTGTCATCATCTGTGTCTCCATAGGAAACCACTTCAATTTCCCAGTAGAATGATGGTGCCTAGAAATAAAAATAATAACACATCTTAAAAAGTCATTTAGAGTTTAAAGAAGCAATTTTCTTGCTTTTCCTTTTCATGCCCTGTTGGATATACAATGACAAAGTGCTGGAGAGCTGTGAGGTCTCACCTGTACTGGCACTGGGGAGGTGGCATAGATAAAGGTGCCCCGAGGAAGTCCCCCACCTGCACTGGGATCAGCCAGGAAGGTCACAGCAGTGAGGTGTGAGGAGAACATGCAGGCTCTCACTGGGGGGAACACCCTGGATGGGCTCCACGTGATTTCTTTGGGCTGCAGACACAACAGAGCAGTTTATTTTACCAATCACAATTGAAGTCACCCACTAAAATACAACCACGTGGTTTATGAGGGGCACATTTAACACAATTCCAACAAATCACATCCCAATAGAGAAATTCCCATTAAATACTCCAAGAATGCCCTCAGTTTGGGCAGCAGCAGGGGTTTCTCCCAGGGCAGAGGGCTCAGCACTGTGCCTGTGCTCACCTGTCTCCTGTCTGCTTGCAGGGGAGGAGGAGGGGGCCGAGCACAGTCCCGGTACAGCATCCGTAACCTCTCACACTGCATCTCCACAACCACCAGCCTCTCCCCTGCAACAACAACCCACACCAGCATCAGCCTCCAGCTGCTCCCTTGAGCCCAACACTGCAATCTTAACTCAGAAATAAATATAGTGTTTGCACTTTGAGGAGGTTTGATCAGCTTCACTCACCTGAGCAACGGAATTAAGGGTAAAATCTAACATATGCAAGTATCTTCTCATGTTTACTTTATATCTGGTTTGTAAATACACTATTATGTTCATTAAGACAAAGTTCATTTTAGTGAGCAAGTTTATGGTTCAGCAAAGGCAGGGAAGCAAAAAAAATTTATGTCTACTGTCACAAAAATCGGTCCTTGCCCTTTGACACCTAAATCCTTTGGCTCCTACTCTTCTACCCTTCACTTCAGCCACTTTTTGTCTGGCATGTTCCTAAAAACTTGCCCCTGAACTAAGATTTCTGCTGGGCAGAATTTAATATATATCATAAGGGAAGTGAAAAGTGCAGTAGAGAACCAGGACTTGCTTCTCTGATACAGAATAATCCTATTCTGGCCTAAATTAATGCCTGTTGTTTAATGATTTAGGCTGATTATTAGCTGTTCTTCCATCAGCAGCTCTGCAGCTGTGACAAGACACTCTGTCCTGTGCCAGTTCCTAAACTCTGGGTAGCTGGAGGAGAAAACACTGAAATGATTTTAAAAGTTGCTCTGTTTCTGACCTGAAAATGCCAAGAAGATGTTGGCTACATACCAGGGCTGCACTCCTGGGCCACCAAATTCAGAACTTCTACAGCAGCTGGGCACTGTTGAATGAATTCTTCACAGAATGAGCTGTCTTCCAACAGCTGAGCCATCACCAGGCATGCTCTGAACAGAAAAACAATACATTTAAAGTGTTACAAAGTGTGTGCTGAATCCAAAGCTGACTTTACAGTAGTGAATTCAAGGGTGGTTTAAGGGTGGTCTTAACCCTGCTTTTAGCTGGACCCTCCCCAAAGGCAGCTTTTCCCTGCTTCATAAATGGATTTATTGAAGCATTTGCTCAGTGTTCTGCAGGGACACCCATGAACAACACCCAGACACTAAAAGGGAGCAAAGGGGAATTTGTGCAGTCCCTTGCTGCACACCCCCCTAGGAGGGTCACAAGGACTCATGCAATTCCCTGGGATGTTTGTGCACAAAGGCAGGACTCACCTGGTTCTTATTTCAGCAAGGAGCCGGACCACTGCCATTACTGGGGTTGAGCCATCTCCTGTTGCAGGAAGTGAGGTGTGAATAGAGAGACTTCCCTCCTGAGGGAGCAACATGGACTGGACTGCCTGTACTACCTTCTCAGTAATGGACAGTTTATGAAGAGGCAATGCCTGATGGTGGGGGGGCACGGTAAAAAGTTAAATTCAAGTAGTTAGTTTCTAAGAAATGAGGGTGTTTTATTACCTGGAGTTAATTCTTATATTTTACTATCACAAAATCAGCACCAAACACCAATAAAATAAAAATAAACAAACCCCAAACCAAGCCAGAAATTAACCATAAAAACCTCCCACCCAGTATGCAACAGAATATCTTTAAGCACAAAAGATGAATATTCACGTTACTTGAATGAGAACTTAAACATGTTAATATATGCTTTAAAAAATAAGGCAAACATTACAAATCATTTATAAGCAGAGATGAAACACTTTTTTTTACGTGCTGTAGATTAATAGTCAGTATGCTGTGACAGAAATAAAGCAAGAATCGAGATTATACTGAATATTGGATGTTTAAAACTCCCATACCTCAGATCTTGGAACACAGAGCCTAGATAATGGAATAGTTAAAGTGTCTGATGCCTGGGAGGTCTTTCTAGTGTCTATAGTGGTGGGTGGGAATTTGACCGTGGCTATACCTTCTTGCTCATTAATAGATGCCACAACTCCAATGCTTCCTGCTATTCCTTTGCCTAAAACCTACAACCAAAGAAGAGCTGCATGAGATTGAAGGTGTTACAACCAGGAATCAGTGTCTGACATCACACACCAACTGCACACACAAGTACAGGGGGGTATTTTAGGAAACAAGCTCCACAAGCTGCTGTTCCACAAGCACATCCTGCTGCCAAGGATCCCAGTGCAGGGAAAACCTCAGGAGAGCAGCAATTCTCATCTAGGATATCAAATATGAACAGTGCTGAATTACCTGAACTTCAGAACCTATTTTAATTGTCTCCTTAAAGCCACCCAAAGCACACAGGGCAGCCACTGCCTGCCGAGCAATCCTTTGAAGTTTAGCCAGTTTCCTTCCACTGCTACTCCCGTTCTCCAAAATGCTCTCTGCATATTTCCCAAGCTGTGGAATGTACATCAGAGCCCGAGACAGAACCTGAAGACAGAAGCAAAAATACCAGGGAACGACTTCAAAGCACAATTCCAACAAAAAACCAATGCCCCAAGCCTCCAGCCCACACAGTCTCAGAAGAATTTTTGTTCTTGAAGAGAATTATGTAACTCAGAATACTCCAAGTTCTCTGAAGTGTGAGCACCATCAAAGCCATGACCATTCCCTGGTAACTTTTAGGATAAAATACAATCTTGGCAAAAGTTTTTGCTGAGGATTTCACCTAAGGAATAGATTAGGTGCTGCAGGATTCAGAGGAACACAAAACCAATGTGTTTTGTTCCAGTCAACACTTTGTACCCTCAGAGGCCACAGCCAAGAGAACAGCCAAGGTAGAATAACCTGCCACAGGCAAGGGAACTCCCCAACAAAAAGCATTGTTATAATGCCTGAAAAGAATGACAACACATTATCTAATGATGGGTAAATTTTGAGTATTTGTCCCACCCTGAGACATCTGGGTCTGTGCAGCTCCGCACCCTGTGTTTAAACCAGAAAGGAGCAGCTCAGGCCTTGCTAATCATCAGATTCTCTAACTACTCAACCCCCAGTGAGGAATGTGCCACTCATGGTTGTGTTTGCTCACTTTTTCAGCAGTTGTTGTCCAGATCTGGGCTGCATTGGACTCTGGGGCCATGAGCAGGCTGTGCAGCAGGGCAATCACCTCTGCTGCCATGCTGTTTGCAACGTGCCCGCTGATGAACGGCCTCACTGGATCCGTCCTGGCCAGGAGAAAAAGGCAATTTGACCATTCAGTTCACAACCACAGAATGAAAAGAAGCTTCAGGTGTCAATAAGATATACACAAAAAAAGAAAGAAAAAGTTTATGAACAGCCAGGTTATATTTGAGAGCACTGCAAATATTTGTGGAGAGAAGAACAAAATGCAGGCTAAGGGATTTACCTGGCGAGTTCTGAATTCCTCTCCCTGCAAATGGAAGTTTGTGCAGTCTTCTTTTTGTCCCCAGTGGACAAGCCACTGGTGCTCTCTGGATTGACAGTCTCTATGGGTGGCCCCACACTCACTATCAGCCCAGATTGTGCCCACTTGGTTGCCTTTCTAAGAGCTGCAGCAGCTTCTTCTGTAATGACTTCACAGCAGCCACTCTGCAAAGGAAATTGCCATGGAAAGCAAATGTCAGATCTGTTTGGTCACTCTGCTCATGTAAAAGTGCTGAGAACACAGCAAAACCCCCTCCTGGATGTGTATTAGTCATAGACAAGCTCTGTCTCTTGCTTTTTATCATCTACAGAGAGATCAGGGATAAATTCACTGCCTTTAACATTCCATTCTTGAATTAACAGTTCTGTTTCTCTGATCAAAAAGCCACCAATGAGTATTTCTGGTGCAAACACTGAAGAACATGTCTGAAAATAGACAGGAAATTTTAATTCAAGTGTGTGGCCTAAAATTTGCATTATCAATGTGCATTTAGCACTTGAGAGAATATCAAAGGGGCTTAAACCTGACCTACAATGGCTATAGGAGGCATCAGCTGAAATTCTCTGTCATCACTTACCCCTGTATTTGATCTGTATTTACAGAGGTAAACAATGAACAAAATAACATTTAACAAAGGGGTCTTAACATCAGTAAAACCCAAGAATTCTGCCTGGCCACCAATTTTTAGGATGTTGAGCAATTCTTTATTTATTTCTCCTCTTACTTTTGTCATGTCCCGATCCATCTTCACCACCTTCTCCATGTTGGCTCCAGTTCCCAGTCGGAATGGGCGACCTTCTGAGCTACTGTTGGAGGGGAAACAGAACACAGGAGCTTTGTTCTGACTGCTGGAAAACACAGCTGAGCTACACAGTCCAATTCCATACATTATGGGTGGTTTGAAATTATTTGAAGCCACCTTTGCAGCTGAATGCTCAAAAGAAAGAGAAATATTAGGCAGTTAAGAACATACCCCATTTACAGAGGGAATTTAATCCTCTTGAATGCAGTTATTCAAAGCAATTTAATCCTTCCCCCCTCAGGAAGAAGCCTCATGAAATGGTTTTTATTGATCACCTTTTACTTGTACCTTTGAGTGTAATTTTTAGAGTATGGGTTCAAAACCAACCCGGGGAGTGGGGGAAGGTGGAACAAATATCACAAAATGCAGGAGGTGACAGCATTGGCATTCAGTGATCCCAACATCCAGGTGGGTGCTGAGAATACTGAAGAATCTTTAATAGCAAATTATTGTCCAGCTTATGCATTATTAAAGCAGTGCTTTTAAAGCCATTTTGCCTTGACAGTTCTATTTGTTAGTCCTACCCAGCATGTCATGCCATAAACAAGATAAATGAAATTCCATCAGAAACACTGAGTCTAAGTAGCTAATTTTTCATGAGATTGTTTTCAGACAGATGAAGATGTTCCCATGTTCCTTTGCATTATCTTACTGCTTTGCCAGTAAACACAAAACACTGGGCAGACACTTTGCTTTCCCATTTACTCTTATATCAAGGATGTATTTTTCTGCAGCTGCAGCACTGGGAAAAAGGAGAAGATAAAAGGAATTGGCAAAATTGTTTCTAATTCCAATGCTGTGAGCTGAGATTACCTTAGTAAAGGCTGAAGGACTTCATGGGAGGACTGATCTTCTCTTTTATGGATAAAAATAGAGAGTTTACCATCCACTGCCTCGCTTTCTTCTCCAGGATCTTTATCACCTTTTATGGAATTTTTAGGGCTGGCTTTTGCCAAGGTAGTATCTGGCTCAGAGGCAGTTGGAGAAAGGACTGTCTGGCAGCCTTGAAGGAAAAAGGAAAAAGAAAACAAAGAAACATAACCATGAATTTTCTTACCTTTGGAACTAATGCTGACACATCTGGGATGTGCCTGAAACATCACTGAGACACCCACTTTCCCTGAGGCCAGGGAAATTAGGAGGCAGATGGAAAGTCACAGGAATATCCTGCTCTCAGTGACAAATCAGATACCTCCCAATACTTGAGCTCTCTGTCAATACAAAAGCCCCTGGCACAGGCTGCCCAGAGAAGCTGTGGCTGCCCTGGATCCCTGGAAGTGCCCAAGGCCAGGTTGGATGGGGCTTGGAGCAACCTGGGATAGCTGAAGGAGGGGAAGGGGGTGGGACTGGATGGGCTTTAAGGTCCCTTTCATTCCAAGATTCCATGAAACAGGAGTCCCTCAGGCACACCACCAAACAGCTGCTGGTACCTGGCACGACGTAATCTGCCAGCTTTGCCAGCAGCAGGGAGGCAATCTTGGAGGCTGGGTCACTGGGATCATCCTGCTCGCTGTTCAGAGAGGGCACTGAGTAACTCCAGGGAGGCAATTCCACATTTCCACAGTCCTCAACACTCATGAGAGGCAGTGCAGCACGACACAACTGCAGGATTATAAGGACCAGCTTTGGAGAAGGACGCTGATCCAAGAGAAGGGACAGAAGCTTGGACACACAGGCTGGCTGGCTCAGGATGGCTTTACCTATGTGACTCCTGAAATGGGAAAGAATCTTGAAATTAAAACCAAATTAATTTATTATTTACAAGATGTATTAAAAGCAATTTCAGTGTCTGACAAAACATCTTTAGTAATTCTTCTATAACTTGACAGCACTGATTAAACACTAAGATTAAGGGTCAGTTTTAGAATGGTTTAAAAAAATCCACACGAGATCCTGCATGGGCTTTGATACACAGGAAGAAAATACTCCAGAGGAAAGACTTGGTACCTTGAGAGGTCATTCAGAAGGCTGAGGACATCCTGCAGTGCATCATTCCCTGCAGCCTGGTTGCCACAGCACTCAGTGGCTCTGGCCAGGTGGTTGGTGAGGAGGCTGGAGACCTGCCTGGCCAGCCCAGAGTGAACGGCATCTGTGGAACCCCCTTTGGAAGGGATGGAAGAATGCACAGCTGTAACCAACAAAAATCAATGTACACACCACAAAAATAACCCCTGATACATTCACCATTAGCCAACAGCCATGTGTAAGTTTAAGTGTGTTATGGGTGAATTCTACCACAGGAGAAATGCCAAATGATCACTCAGAATCTCCAGGTTCTCTGATTATGTTTAGACAGATCAAGTGGCAAAACTTGACATTATTTCCATGAGGAGGAAAAAAAGCCAGAATTAAAAAAACAGGAAGAAAATCAACTGAATTTTGTATTCACTTCTTAAGAATCCACAGAGTCCCAAGTCATAGTGAATGACTGCCCTATTTTAAATACATTTACACCTCTCCTCAGGCAGTTCTAACACACACAGCAGAAGATACTCCCAGTATTCCTACCTTCTTCCTTTTCCCACTCCACACAGCGGTTGGCCAGCACCTGGAAGGCAGCCCAAGCCATGGTGGCCACCTTCTGTTTCTTGGTCTGTTTTTCATTTGAGCTGGACTCTGTCTGGCTGCTCAGGCTGCAGAGCCGGTCCATCAGCTGGACCAGCCCACTACGCACCAGACATTTCTCCTCACTCCTGCAGGAGAAATTCAGGGTGGAATTAACTTCTCCATCACAACAGCAATCCAGAACTTGCTGTTAGCTCAGTAATTAATTAGTTCACTTGGCAAAAAGATGGTTCTGCCTCTCCCTTGTCCTCCCCAGGTGGAATTGTGAGGGAATTTAACCGGATGTTCATCATGATGAGTAAAGGGGATGTATTTATACCACTTAACACTTCTTAAAGCAAAGCCTACTAAGGCCAGGTGTGGATGCCCCGCTTGCCTTCCCCAAGTCCCTCCTCACCTTGTGTAGGGAATGGTGCACAAGAGGCCAATGCTGTTGGCACAGGCGATGGGGTACCGGGCACACAGGGACACCACCGACGTCATCGTCTCCCCAAAAGCCTCCTGGACCTGCTCCACCATCCCACCACAGGTCAGCTCTTCAATCCTGTTGGGGGTTAGAGATTGGGAATGGAAGGCTTCAATTCACAGACTTCCAAATGTAGCTTTAAGAAAATAATAATCAGTGCATGTTAAGAATTATTCAAGAGAGACTTGGAAGGCAAACTGCAAGTCACTCATTTCTCATATGAAACATGTGAACAAGAGAGCTCAGACATTATTAATTCTAACTACAAACAAAATACAAAACATTTACTACATTAGGATGACAGTATCAGCTGAATTTACCACTAATAGCTAGTGAAGGACATCCTCTATACACACCTGGGTACATGTCAGCCCAGTATGAAAGAAAAGTTCATCAACTGATAAATAAAAGCATTTCTTAGAAGTTTCTGCCTTTTCACCCCACAAGAGTCAAAGTGTTTGTTGCAACCTTAGCTCTGCCAACTTGTGCCCTCACAGCTACTCACTTCCGGCTTTCCCTTGTGCAATGCAATTTATTCCCTTTCACAGAGACCAAACTACTGAATTCTGGAGAAATGCACCCACCTTGGCCCTCCCTGGAGCACCATTGTCACTGGGCCCACCAGGTGGGTGACGCCCCCGACACGCACAGCGGCCGTCAGCAGCTCCCTCATGTGCACCAGGGCCTGTTTCCTGGTGTTGCCACGTCTCCAGCGGGTCTGGGCAGCCAGCAGGAAGCTGCTGCTGGACACCTGTGAGGTATGGGAGGGGATTTTTGTTAGACACGAACAAGGCACCTCCTGTTTCTGAGCAAGCTGGAATTTGAAATGAAATAACAACGTACAGCTTGGTCGGGGTTTGTCCCGATGAAGGCAAAGAGCTGTCCCAGCAGGACACTGTAGGTGGGTTTGTCCCTGCTGTCCTCAATGGCCAGGGACTGCAGCAGGGTGAAGGAGCTGCTCCTGTGGCTGGTGACATGCCGGCGCCTGCGAGGGAACAGGAATGTTTCACCAGGCAGCAGGAAGCTGATCCAACCACCACAAATGCTGCTGTGTTGGCAGTGGTAAATTTGATCAAGCTGATCACTGGGACAGCACAGAGGTGTGAAGGGAAGGAATAAACCCTGCTGTACCTCTGGCTGGCCCGGGCAAACTCGATGTCCTCGTTGCCGATCATCTCCAGGTCGGACGGGGCGGACATGCTGCGCAGGAACACCGGCTGGCGCACGGCGTGGGAGATCACCTTGGTCTCAGAGGCTGATTTACAGGCTGAAGTATTATAAAATAGTAATAAAAAAGGTCATTCCTGGAGCAGGGAATTATTTACAAACTGGATTTAAAATCACTGGTGGATATCCCAATGGAAGCTGAAACATAGGGTGGGGAAAATCCAGTCTAAGCAAGAATGTGCAGCTCAGATCTGAGAATTTTCCTGTTTTCAACCCTGCTGAGAGTTTGGAAGAGATTTGGAAGTGAAGGCTTCAACTCATAAACTTCCAAATGTAGCCTTAAAAATAATAATCAGCACATATTAATAATTACTTATTGGAAATTTAGAAGGAGAACTGCGAGTTATTAATGTATGAAATATGTAAAGAGCATGGAAGTTAAAGTTCAGACTTGATTAAATCTCACTACAAACAAAATACAAAGCCAGCTCTGAGGATGTTCCTGTTTTCAGGTGTTGTTTCAAATCAGATTTCTTTTGATTTAGTTAGGTATTTTTCCTCAATAAATCAGGAGAATTAAGTTTAAATTCCACCTATTATTACTCAGCTTTTTATTTACCATCCTCACGGCAATCAGAAAACAAAGACACAACTTTATTTATTGTAACAGAATTAATTTAATTTAGGGAAAAATGGTTTAATTTAAAGCAAAAGAGGTAAAAATAAGAAATAAAAGGTATCTTTAGAAAATGCTGGTAATGAGAGATGTACCTGGAGTCTCTGCAGGGGTCCCAGATATGCTCCTTGTGATCCCAGACTGTGCTGCAATGGTCACATGCAACAACAGCTCTGCTCTGTTCATCAAGCTCTTCACCAAGGTTTTTGTCTTTGCTAAGGGATGAGAGGTCTTCTGGATCAGTGAATTCACCTCTTGGAAAAACTTCTCCCTAGGATTACAAAAGGGAAGTAAAAGAAGCCAAGTCAATGTTTGAATGCTTTCAGAAAGGAAGTGTTACTGAGGGAAAGGTCAGCTAAAGAGAACTTATGGCCTCAGTCTGTTCTGTGCCAGCAAAGGAGAGAGCAGAAAAAAATGGAAGAGATAAACAAGTGATTCCTTAGCAGACACATGGAGTTGCAGGTATTAATATGAATACATTTAGCACAGAAGTTTCTAATAATTTCATCAGATTCTTTTGGAATTCCCTGGAATTGCCTTGAAGCTGCCCCTCCTTTAGGTCTAAATGTTCACTAATACCCACCTTAATGCCAGGACCACGTTCTCAAGATCACTCCCATCAAAAGAAACTTCCTTCATTGAACACAGAAGCTCCAGCTCCTTCATCTTGCTCTGAACAAAGGGAAGGAGAAGGATGAGCAGGTTTTGAGGAAGCAGAGTGAGGCACAAGCACCCAGAGCAGCCGCAGGGCTCACCTCATTGAAGTGATAATCATAAAAAAAGGGGACATTGTTCTCCAGCTTCCCGTGCATGGCATCATCCACCTCGTTCTGCCACTTCTGCTCCAGCTCAGCCACACTCTGATAAAGAGAAAAAAATCACACTTGTTGCACTTAAGGTGTAGAAGAGATTTTAGAAGAAGAAATCTGAGTACATTTGGTATTTCTGTGGTACTAAAATACATCTTTACTCTCAAAACAAGCCTTTTGTTGTTTTCAATAATTTTCTTTTTACCTGCAGTTGTCTCTCCATGGCATTCAGCTTCTTAAAGGTCTCTCCCATAATTTTACAAAGTAAATCATATTCCTCAGCATGTTCCTCCTGGTACTGGAAATTTATCAGGGACTGGAGAGCATCAACCAAATTGAGATGTTTAATCACACATGAAACCACCATCTCCTCCATGACTTCTGGCTGGATCACTTCCCTAGGGTTCCAGGGAAAGCCAAACTCATTAATCAGGAGTAAGAGACCAACTTGGACAATTCATATTCATAAATCACCAGATGCTGCATTCACAAACAAGGTAAAAAACTCAGAGGGAAACAAGGACTCCTTACTTTATACTGGGTCTAAATTGAGGCCGAGCACGTCCAGAAATTTCCCTGAGCTTGATCATGATTCCTGGGGGCAGCCTAATCCTGGGCAGGTCAAAGTAGTGTCCAACAGGAGGCACAAGCACATCAGAGGGATATGTGAATTCCCTGTCCTCCTCTATGGTGAGAGGCAATGGAGAAGGGCTTGGAGTAAGGGCTGGAGATATGACCCCGTTGGCTTCCACCTGCCACTGGCACCTGAAAAGGAGTAAAAAACAATGAAAATTATTTTTTCCCCTCTCTAATTCTCCCCTTATTGAGAAAGACACTTCAGTTGACACATTACAAAGATTAAATATTAATATTTGAAGTGTGGCTTGTACCAAGCATAATCCAAACCCTCCTTTTACTCTAAAAACCCCTCTGTTTTAGAGAATATTCCCTCAGTTTTAGGCCACACAAACTGCTGAACAAACTACAGGAAAAATGATCCAAACATCACCTTAAAGCAACAAGACTTGAACACAAGAAATCACTTCCCCTCAGAAAAAAACCAATCAGATTAAAATTGATTTTTTTTTTTTTTTACCTTTGTAGAAGTTTAGATCTTAAGAGCTCTTTTGTAAAGGTGTCTTTTAGTGGAAAACTTAATTTTGCTGCTGGCTGACTACAGTAAAACAAAAAGAACCACCATAGCTGTAAAATCAAAAGCAGAAATTATCAGTGTGTTATTTAACCTTGATTTTCACTGTTTTTCTGCAAAAAATCAGGCAGTAATTAACAATTCTCTTCCTGAAGAAAGACAGACAAGCTCTTCAATCAGAAAAATGACAACAAATTAATCAAGGAGCTTGCTAAAAGAACAGCATCAAAACCTATGTGCGAAAAATAAACCAAATTCCCTTAATTGTGAACAATGGAGTTCTTGTCTGAAATTGCTTTCCAGTTTATTACTTCTTAATTTCTTTCTACAATGTGTTTTTGTTATGTAAATAAGCCCAGTTTTAGTGTGGGACAATGTAGCAGCACAAATATATATTGAACAAAAATAAAATCACACTGCAGAGAGTGTGAGGGGACACACTGCCAAAGCCTTGAAATGCTGAGGTTTCAAGAAGTTCGATAGATTCTTCTTAGTTTTATTACCAAAAGCAACAATGAAATTTTAAAATCCAACAGAAATGGTTGGATTTTATTTGTTATATTTACCACTTGAAATATTTGGGGGTTATTATCCAAAAAATTGACTTTAAGAGAATCTGCCTTGAACTTCTCCTAGGAGGGTGTACTTAGGAGAAGAGCAGTGCCATTAGAGACTGCAGGACTCAAATATCTCCATCAGGAATTCCAGGAAGACACAAAACAAACTCCAAGGGAAGCATCACACGGAACACAGAGCCAAGTTTAAAGTTCTCCCCCAAGGACACTACAGTTCACTGAGCAGGGATCTCATCATGGATAACTGTACACTTAAAAGCTTGGAATGCATAGCTAGGAGGGTAAAATGGGCTGGGCATGGTTTCCAAAGGGAATTTTCTATGGGAAGGAGGTGGATGGGAATACTGTACCTTCACCAGGTCCTTGGGCCACCCCGTTCCTAAGACACTACGGCTGCCATATCCCAGTGTATTGCCTCCATACTCAGCAACCTTCCTACTGTTTGTGCTAGGACCAGCATAGATCACCAACTTCAAAACATAAAATACACTGTTAGACTGTAAGAGAAAAACAAGAAAACCTAATAATAATAATAATACTTAGCACTTCCACCGCGCTTTCGACTCTCGAAGCGCTCCATGCACGTGAACCGATCCTCACAGGCTCGGTGAGGGCAGCAGGGTTAAGTATTATTATCCCCATTTTACAGATGGGGAAACTGAGGCACACAGGGACTGGAGGGGCTTGGTCCCTGCTCACACAGCAGGGCTGGGAGCAGAGCAGGAGCAATCCTGACTGCCAGCCCTGAGGCAGAGAACAAACTCCTTCCCTAGCAGTGAGGGGTTGATCCCGCTCCCAGCAAAGCCAAAGTTTTGCCATGACTTTGGTGGGATTAGGGTTTTTTGGGGAGTTCAATATTAATGTCACCCATTACTGATTAAAGATACTCCCATTAGTTATTTATGAGCATCTATGCCAAAGAATAAACAGCAGCACTCAGCAAGCAGCACAAGCAGATCTCTGATAATACAAAGTAGGTAAGTGCTATTGGTTGTTTTCTTAAAATTGAAGTATTTGTTCCTATTAACCCAGGTAAACAAGCTCTTTATCATCAGGGAAAAAGGAACCTCTCCAGTTCTGCCCAGTTTAAACCAACTGTGCTGATCAAAAGAGGCAGCTGGATTAAAATTTAGGAAATAAGGAAAACTGAACATGAGTAAAAATGAGAAAAGTCAAACTTGGACAGTCTGAGCCAGCCTGAAATAATTTTTTAAAAAACCAAAACTGACAGAATTTCTGAGGGGAAAAACCAACCCAAACCACCCCTCAACCCCCCAATCCCTGGAGCCTCCCACATCTATCCCATGGCAGAACTCCCACTTTTTTGGAGGGAGTTCCCTCATTGCAGAGGTGCTGAGCTGGCCCTTGCTTACCTTGTCATAATCATACTGGGAGGAGCATCTGTTGTCAAATCTAAGATACAAACAGCGAGCTCCTGGAATGTGGACAGTCTCCTTAAATTTATAGTTATCCCTGACAGGATGCACTGTCTCCACAGTCTTCCCAGCAGCCCAGGGAGCAGGGATCTTCAAACCAGTCAGGAATCCTGGCTCTTCCTTCTCTTCCAGCATCCTGAAATTAGAGTGAGAAATTTGGCCTAAAATACAGCACAGAGATTTCTGTCATTCAATAAAGTACTTAAAAATCACCTCTCAGTATTGACACAGAGAGACAAGGAACTGACTCCTGGTTTTAGGCACGACTGTATTGAGGGAATTCATGTATTATATATATTATCATCATTATTCTTTGATTACATATACTCTTATACACAAAAAAATCCCATTATCATGAATTCTTTAGTATTGCAAATTCTCCAATGCTGCAAATAAGCATTTTTATTTGATTTTAGCTGTTTGTTTTTGTTCCTAAGCAGGAGCTGGAAAACTTTGAGCTGAGAAACAGCATTTAAATGCAGGAGTTAAAAATGTTATTTCTCTGTAAATTAAACCATTTAATAGCTTTGCAATGGTTTTAATTCTGTATCTCATGCTGCCAGAGCAATTTACATTTTCTCCTGATGGTCCTTCCTAGCCTAATTTATTGTGAGAGAAACATTTAGATTTAATTTCTAATGCCTGAGATGAGGAAAAAAACCAAAATGAACCATACTCTGTGTAAACAACCTGAAGTTATTAATAGTTTAATTCTATATACAGAACAAAATTTGGAACTAACTGCCTTTTGCAAAAGCTTATATAAAACTGAGACAGCCTTAGAAATCATTCCAGCATACCTTTAAAAATTAATTCAAATAAAAACTGCTGCTTTGTCCCACAGCAATGGTCAAACAGACATTATAGTTCAGTTTATCCCATGAAAATACCCAAATGTAAAGAAAATCACCTCTCATCAGGTAACTGCTTCCCTTTCTGCTCTGGAGCACAACTGGGGGAACTGTTCAGTTCTGAGAAAACTGGAGACTGGGTTTTAAGCAGCAGTGCAGTCTGTGGCCCAAAATACACAGTGTTAGGGACATGCAAACTGTAAAGCATTTTAAGAGCTCATTATTGAAATAATTAACAATTATTGTTATTGACAATAAATCCCGACTGAGTACTCCTGGAGGAGTCAAATTTAACATTCAGCATCAGCAGCTTTGGCAGCTGTTGAGAAACTCTGAACTCTGGTGTGTGGATGAGTGTCTGGAGGAAGCTGAGCAGCATTTTGGAGGCTGCAGGCTCCAGGTTTGGCCCTGGGCAGCCCAGGGTGGCACAGAGCCCGTACCTGGCTGGTGTAAAGGACCAGCTGCACCAGCTGAGGCATCAGGGCATCAGCCATGGTCAGGGTCTGCAGGTTTGGGTGCATCAGGGATGTCAGCAGCACAGGCAGCAGGTGGCCAAGCATGGTGGCCTTTGTGATCTGCTCCAGGCCTTTTAACCTGGAAGGAGAGCCAAAGTTACAGAGGAACAACTCTTTTCATGGAGCAGCACTTCTGCTTTTAGTCACTTCTGTTTCATCTTGTAACAGCAACTCAAAATTCAGCAGAGAATGTTTGCATTATATTAACAAAATCCCCAAAACAATCTTGAAACCACTACAATTTCTCCCAAGTGCCAGTGACCTTGAATTGCTGACAATTTTTACTGAACAATCTGAGAGCAGAGACAGTAAATCAACAGTTTAATAATTACTCAGAGAAGGATAAGCTCCCCTGGGCACAGGATGAAAGTCCCCATCAAACACAAATGCACCAGTGTGGATATCAGCTCCCAGCACATGGAGCTCAAAGGACTTGAAAAGGATCTGCAGCTACAAAAATATATTTGAACACAAACTCATATGAAAATATCACCCAGGAATTGTGTGCTGTCAATAAACACAACTAATCTTGCAGGCACAGAGAAGCAGAAAGTGAAACCTGGAACACAGCTGGGACAGGGAGCTGTTTGTTTGAGGAGAGAAAAGTTCATAGCTTTTGTTTCCACCCCATTCCCAAGGTGTATTTTTAAGAGGAGGGGAGACAGAGAAGGGCAGGTGATGGAATATGTGGGACATAAAACAACACCCAGGGACTGTCATGCATAAATATCTAATCTAGCTACTAGGGATGTAATAATCACAAGTTTAAAAATAAACAGATTGTTCTAGCTTACAGGAGTATTCCTAGCTAATTACAGTTTATTTCCAGGTATCCTACTCATAAATACCATTATAACTGACTAAAACCTTCTCAATTTGAGGTTCCTACAGAAATATCAACCTACAGATGATCAGGACTGACACAGAGAGTGATTCTAAATTCTCCACCAGCTGAGTGCTAAACAATTGCTACAGGAAGAAACAGTTCCTGGGCATTCAAAGCTCAAATATGAAGTGATAAAGAATAATTAATGCTAACTGTGCTTGTACAATAAGCCACAAAGAGCAGCAGCTCCCTGTTTCCAAATTAGGATCCTCCCACTTGTCTTACCTTTGCTCCCTGTCAGAAATGTCACTGTTAATTAGTGCTGTAGTGACTTGTTGCAGCATTTCTAAGACTTCATCACATCCTGTCAGAATTTGTGTGGCAAGAGACAAAATGCTGGTCTTGAGTTCCTAAGTAAAAAAAAAAAAAAAAAAAAGAGTTACAGGATACTTAAATTCTTAAAGAATCCCCCCGAAAAAAGGACAACAGAACAAAAAGATGGATTTCCAAATGAAAAGAATGATAATGTGACCTGGCAGGCCTGCAGCAGAAGATTCATCCAAGACTTAAATTTGATTAATGTTAAGCCCCAAAGTGCTGGGAGAAACTAGGTGCATGTTTTACAGGATGCACATCCAGTTTCTAGAGGGAAGGAAGCCCCAAGTCCAGCACAGGAGAGAGCTGAGAGCCAGCCAAGGTACAGGACTGGTGACACAATGTCCTAGCAGGGATGAGGAGCACTGCAGAGAGAGAAACTGAACAATGAACACGGCGTGAATAGTGAGACAAGAAAAATACTCCAATATTTAGCATTTACTCAATGAGCCTGAACAAATCACTTCCAACTGCAGCAGCTCACAAACACACACAGCCTCAAAGAGCAGCAGAGAAAACCGGCTTAGCAAAACAGCAAAAATTCAGAAATCAATTCCATTAGGGAAGCATTATTACCTAAACTACTCTGAGCAGACAACCTGCACTCCAGGGCAAACCTGGCAGTTGGATGAAGCAGTGTGAAATGCAGCATTTTAATAAACTTCTACCAACCAAAGCCTGTCCTCAAACCTTGTCCTCTAACAATTTCCTTGCCACAAACTTTAGTCTCTCTATTTCAGACAAATGATGGAGGTGGTTCTGCACAACATTTGTTCGTTTAAACTGCAAAAACGCAACAGCCAGATAAGGAAATAAGAAATCCCTTTTCTATTTATTTAACAATATTTTTTTCAAGGGCCACCTGAGTGATTTGGAGAGGAAAAAGTGTCTGGGGTAACATGTCCAGGAAAGGAAATTCCCATGCCACAAATCCTACTAGCACATACTAATTAAAATCTACTTAAAACCTCATTATACGTATATTTAGGAAGGGAAGTGTCTGCTGTTACTGATATTAGGGAATGCAAGCTGGAATCCTGAACTCAGAGTAACTCAGATTTTACTCTGGACTGGTTTTCCCTGATCTCCAGCTAATTAACTCTATCAAAAGGAAATGAACCACCAGCAAACAGCAAACGCACTGCAGGAACAAGGTGTCACAGGCACACTGACTGGAGAGAGCCATACTAGAATAAAACTTGGTGTTTACCTGTACCTTCAATGTCTCTCCCTGCAAGGAGCTGTCACTGTCATCATTGTCATCAGGTTTAATCAAAATAGTGTTACTGAGGAGGTGGTTCTGCACAGCCATCAGGTACCGCAAGCACGAGGACGCAGCCTTGAACACAAATAAGTAAAACTTTGCATTATCCAAACCCTTCATGAACCCTGAGTCAGGCAAGCCTCAGACTTGGAAGTTGGAGAGAGGAAAAAAAAGGTTGAGGAAGGAAAAAAGAAAGAACAAAGAAATAATTTTATATATTTAAGGAAAGAAACCGGTTGCAAAATGCTGAATTTTGTGAAATAACTCACAAAAATATAAAGAGGCAGTATAACTTTTTTCAGGTTTGGAACATTATAGCAATATTCAGGAACTCTAAGAATTAATTAATTCTGAAAAGATTGTGCCACCAGAGAGATAAATGTAATTCACATTCCTGAAGGTGATGGTTCCATGCCACTCCTTCCCCATAGACCAGGACATCCTGTTCCCTCCCAGTTTTTATGGAAGCTCAGCCTGCCTTTCTCAGGGAGCTGATCCTGCTGAAAACACCTGCCCATAATGTTACCATCAAATGTCAGCTTTAACTCATTCCTGTCTGTCACTGGTAACTCTCTCAGCCTATATGAACCACAACACACAACTGCATATTTGATTCTTTAAGCTGAATATTGAGATCCATAAACTTCACTTAAACTGAACAGCAACCAGAAAATAAATCCGTGCATAAACCCATTCCAGCGTTACTGAATAACTTCCTTTGCTGTGAGAAATTATTCTTTTCTTCCCTGCACAGCACAAACAAAAGACAATTCTTCTCCTGGATTTGTTAAGACACAACTATAAAAGTTTCACCTCCTTGTACTCAGTGAAGAGGATTGATTCAAGGAGAAAAAGAAGCCAAAAGCAGAGATACTTTTATCAAAACACATTTTACTTACAGGCACAGTTGAAAGAAGCCTTTGAAAGTCATCTTTAGATACAGTTTGGCACTTGGTGATTAAGACACAAGATTCTCGGACAACAATCTTGAGGATGTAGTGCAAGAGCTCATCATTGAGTCTTCCAGAAAGGCAAGAAAGGTGGAAAATGTTAATCATTAATTACTGTGCATTATGTACAGCTCAGCTCACTCTGCAAGCTGGATGACACATTATGGGAAACCTAAACAAGGATCAAACTTCAAATCAGACACAAAAAACCCCAAGGCTGAAATGTTTAACAATTACAACAGATTTCCAGGGGTTTGCTGCACTGTGCTGATGTAAATCTGTGATTTCTTATGGCTCCTATAAAAGACTCCTCCCAACTTCAACAGGTACTTGAGACTGGCAGTTTTACTGCTGGAAAGTCACCTATGATATGCAGAGAAATGCTATAAAATCATCTTTATGAAATCATCATTCAAATTTACCAAGAACATGGCAAAGAACAAGGAATTCCAAACCCAGACTGGGTACAGAAGCATCCAAAGTTTGCCCTAAAACATCAAATCTCTCCTCACCCTAATGAAATCTTCCCCCACAGACACAAACACCACTCAGGTCATGCTGCAGGAACACACCAAGCAATTCCAGCAGAAGTTCCTGCAAGTTCATTTCAAGCAAGTAACAGAAAAATACCCTATAAACAGAGGCTTTTTACCTATAATGATCATCATCTTCACTTCCAAATCTGTTGTTCTGCAGCTGCTCAGCTAAATTGGTCAGGATGACATCCCGGAGCTGGGAGAGGCCACTGTTCCTCTCTCCTGAAAGGGAAATAAACTTTTGCAAAGCAGCATTTTACAGAACAGATTTTATTTCCCTAATACCTCATTTAACACAGACTAGAGCTCAGGAATGGCTGCATTCCCAGGGTGACCAGAGCTGCTGCCCCAGACTGGGAGCACTTTCCCTGCCCATGGCACTGTTGGAAATTCCCTGCACTACATTCCTGTGAAGTAACAAATTACTGAGCATCAGCTGCTTCAAGGCCAGATTCCCATTTCCTGGTAAACTCAAGGACATTATTCTCCCTCACTGAGGTCTAACATCACCTCTCATTATTGGGTACTTAAATATTCCTTTCCCCCACCTGAACTACCCTAGGCCATGCATCCTCTTGGAAGCTGAAGCATTCCATAATTTCCTAGAAAAGCATGGATTTAAAGCAGAGTAGTGCTCAATATCCCACACTGCTCTCCCTCTAAGCTCAAGATGTACTTTGATTTTTTGTTCTCAGAAAAACCCCACTCTCACCAGGCAATAAGACATTCTCACCTTCAGTTAAGACCAATTTCAATAAATTATTGATTTCAGCTTCTCCAGGATACAGGATATTTAAACCAGAGCTAAGGAAAAAACAAAACCATGCATTACTTGATGGATTTAGAAGTGAGCAAAATCATTTCAGTGGACATGTGACAAATGGCACCACACACTCAGCATCTGATGGAACATTTACAATGTCTGTGCAAAGGCTTAGAAGAGCATCCTGCAGATTTTAGCACCAATATTTAGAACATAAGCAGCTGTTTTCTCCAAGAATCTCTTGTAATCAATTATATGTTATTGTTTAGGTCCCAAAGCTTCTCCAAGAGCTATTTGCTTCCCCCTGGAAAACTCCCCATTCATCACCTGCACACAGGGCAGCACAATTAGTTTAAGAAACAGATGTCAGGAAAAATTATGATGGCTCATAGAAAACCCCAAAAACTCTGGTGATGGGGTAAGAGCTGAGGCTTCTCTGTGCTAAGAACAGTGGAAAATACAAACACAATAATCAAGGAATCACCACTGCTACAGTTTTGTGCTTTTTGGAGACTGGCTCTATAGAAGTCTTAATTTAAGCTACACAGAAGATTCTAGAAGGAACATTTCAGGAACATCCCAGCTCTACAGAAACATTCCAGGTGGAGACTTTTTCCCTCTAACTTGTGATGAACTCTGTCCTTTCTATGTGAATTCCCCCACTGAGATCACAATCACTTCAAAGGAGCACTTCATGCCTGTCTGAAGTGCTGAAATCATTATGCAACTTTGCCATTTCCTTTCCCTTTTCTTTTTCAGTAACAGAAAAGAAAACTGGGATGTTTTTCAGCTCCACACTGTGAGCAGAGATTACTGCAGATTCCTTCCCTCTGGCTCATGCTGATCCACTCTGATAGAAACCTCAGGAAAAGTTATCACACATTGCCAGCTCCCTTTGAGGGTTCCACTGGCACCAGAATCCCCCAGGGAGGAAACAGGAGGAAGGAAACATCACCCAGTGCCCACCTTGGAGCTGTTTCACAAGGCACTGGAACACACAGGTATTACAAGGGATCCCTGCAGGTGACAGGGGACACTTTTCCCTGTCAGAAAGCACAACCCTGAAAATGCCAGGTGATCCTCCTGAGCCAAACTATTCTTCACACAAGAGTTGCACAGAGCCACAGAAATTTGGAGTGTTGTGATTCACACCAAGGAAATGCAGGTTGATCTTCCAAAGGTTTTGTTCTCAACCTCTGGAGCACTTCCCACTGGAAAAAGCAGGTTCTGTTTGTCCTTGGCACACTGGAGCCAGCATTCCTTGGCCCTGAGGTTTGCTTTATCTCCTTTTCAGGAGATACAACCACACTTTTTTTTCCCCTGGGCCTTGAGTCTCAGAGCATGGCTCAAGTATCATTAACCCCTCTAGTATTATTCATTCTGCTTCTCCTGATGTTCCTTTTGTTCAGGAGAACTCCAGTGTTACCACTGAGGTAAGAGCTGCCAGCACCAGCTGTGCCTTTCCCTGAACACCACAGCAGCCAAATAAGGAACTCATTCAAATAAACTCTGCTTGAATTTAGCAACTATTTTATAATAAATATTTAAAAAATCCTTAAGAAAGCAAGTAAAAAAGAAACAAATTAAAAGAAAGTAATTACTACTTGTTTTTCCATCAAGATCAACACATTGTATCTCTTCTCCCACGGACAAACTGTAATAATTTTATCATATTGTGTCTTAAAATCCATCACACTACATTTCCTCATATTAATGTAAAATTAAACTAAATACAACGTGAATGTTCATCTATCACCACATTTCAGAGAAACTAAAATCTAAGTTAAGTTGAAGCTAATAAAAGATATTCACCTAATAGCCAGACAAACTTCCTTCTGGATTTCAGAGCAGATCTGATCCCTTGGGGCCATCAGTAACTGCCACAGTAACAGCCCAGACCTTCTGACAATGTCTCTGTTCCTTTCAGTTTGGGGGCTGAAGAAAAATTTGAAAACCACCTAGGAAAAATTAAAGACAAAAAAAATAATATTTAAATCATAAACATTACTTACATTAACTTATTTTCTGCAGTCAGTTTCTCAAACTATTTGTGTGGGTCTAGAAATCTGAGAGTCAGAATCTGATTTTGAATCAAAAAATGGACGGGGGGAAACAAAGCAAGAAGGACATAACTTCTCTGTGTTTTAGTTTAATCTATAGAGATTGTTTTTAAATTAGGGCTTTTAAATGAATATATAAAATATTGCAAAGCCACTGCTAAATCAACTTCCAATGAAGTTGATCTCCATGGATTCCAATGGAGAAAAAAAAAAAAAATTAAACCCATGGTTGCCTGTACTCCAAACCAAGTTTTTCATTTTTCCATGGGAGTTTTGAAGCCCATTTAAGGTTCTGTACCTGGAAGACGACGAGGATGCAGCGGATGATGCAGGTGTCTCCATTGACCATGGCCTTTTCCATAATGTCACAGATGCTGCTCAGGTGATGGGCTTCAATGGGATGCTGCTTGCCCAAAAAATTGCTGATGGGGAGGTTGTTGCTGGCTGCCAGGAGGTTGAGTTGGTGGATGCACATGGCACCAACATGGTGCAGTAACTGGTTAATGACCTCATTTGTGGTTGTTGCATCCCCTGCAGGGAGAGGAGAGTTCAAATGCTGTCTATAGACACAGACTGGATCATCAGCCTATGCTTCTAAAGTGCAATAAATCAACTTCAGGGCATAAAGGATTACCCAAACCACCTTCCTATTGTGCTGAAGGCAGCAAGAACCTTGAATCTTGCCCACATCTCACTTTGTACTTTTCCCTCTCTTAAGTGAAGGCTACACTGTGACCAATATTTACAACTCTTTCAGGAATTAACTCAGCTTTTAACAGCAAGGCAGTTTCTGTCTGTTTATTCTCTGCCACTCCTCTCTTTCACTTCCCCTTTGTACAAAGTGCTGACTCGTGGGTTCCCCTCACCTTTGGGCTCTGTGATGACGTGACTCACTCCCAGCCTCTGGCACACACAGTGGAATGCCTGGTTCCCAGGATTGCACCACTGATCAATATAATCATTGGAGCACGTCCAGATCATGTTATTCATTGTATCATAACAGGCACCTGAGAGAAGGAAAATATTTCATACATCAATTTAGCAGAAAACCAGACTGAAGCATCTTTATAGACATAGTAAATCCAAACTATTTACTTTAAAGTTTTATCTAAACCATGGGCATGCAACCCCACCCCACTGCAGAGTTGCTGACTGCAATTTCAATCCCAGATGGATCATTCAGGATCTGAGGGATTGCTATATTCCTTACCAAGCCCTGGCACCAGAGCCCCCCGTCCGAGCGAGCTGCCCGCAGCATCGATGAGATCTGCCCTGCTGGTGAACTGCCCATCCGAGATGTTGAACACCAGGCTGGAGGCAAGAACTACACAGAAACACAGCTCCAATCAATTCCTGAGAAGTTTATTGCATTCCAGACAGCCAAGGACTCCCAGTCTGCCACAAATGGCCCTGACTTACTTTTTAAGGAGGACAAAGCGCTGGTGCCCCCGAAGAGCGAGCGCGTGGCCGAGCTGCCCGAGCCCCCCGGGGGTGGCACCAGCATCACCAGGTAGGTCCCACACGTGTAGATTGGGGTCTTCCTCAGCATCTTCAGGGGCAGCCCACAGCTCGTGTTGGCAGCTGCAACGTGCACCAGAGAAAGGTCACAAACTGCACCTCTGCAGAACAAGGCAGAGCTCTGCTCGGGGCCTCAAAGGAATCCATGTTTAGAAGCTCTGTTAAGAGGTTTCTACAGAATTCCAGAATGGTTTGGATCCCATTCCAACCTCGTGGACAGGGATACCCCTTCCAGGAGAGCAAGTTGCTCAGAGCTCCATGAACCTGGCCTTGAGCATTTCCAGGGATGGGGCATCCATGACTTCTCTGAGGCCACCCAACCTCACACACTGAATCCCCACAAGGCTACAAAGAGTTTAATGGGTTATTAAACTAAAGAAAATAACTTCAAAATAAAATAATAAAATATTAGGTATAACCAAAACTATTAAGAATTGTGTGGTGATAATTACATTGAAAGCACTTGGAGCCAAAAGGTCTCCTCACATATAGAGATCACTTGAGATTCACTATGCATTTACTATTTTAAGTTCTCCTGCTCCTCATGAGACGTAGACAGCCCAAATGATCTCCTTCCTGCAACAGCTGATCAACACTTTTTGAGTGCTGACTCAAGAATTAGCCAAGAATAGCCTCTTACTCTCCTTTTTCTGTAGCACTTGAGTTGTTAAATGGCAAAACACAACCTTTAAAATAGCTCTCCAAGCTAACTCCTTGCCAAATTCCCTGGAAGCAGAGCCATTTCATGTATAATTTATTTTTATGGAAATACTTTCTATTGTTTCAAATTGAAGAAAGAAAACTCATGTACTTGCAAAGGAAGAAGAGAAATAATTCAAGATAAACTGAATAAAATCTTCAGAAAAATCTAACAAAGCTCCAGATCATCCTGAAAGCCATCAGTGCACCTCATCCAAGACTCCCTCATTAAATTGGGTTGTTTGCATAAAAAAAATACACAAATATTGTGCAGATGACCTCGAAAAAGTGCAAAATCACCTAAGACTTGTAATATTCCAGTGACTGGTGATGCAATAATTCCATTTTGTAACCTGCAGGCCATTTTTACACACCAATTAGAAGCCCAGTTCAGCTGCCAGCAGAGAAATGCAACTATCAGATTCCCCAAACTCATTCAATAATGGAATTGGAAAAGTGTGCTTCCGATTTTCCATCCCTAAACTTTCCTCACAATCCTAATTTAGCAAAGGAATTCATAATTCCAGCATTAAGCAAGTACTGTGCAGATCTTCCAACTACACATTCGGGGGGAAAATGACAAAAATCACACAGTTTGTTTGTTTTTAAAGCTGTGCCAAAAGGTCAGTAATAAGCAGGATGGATGCTGTGTGTGTTAAGAAATGAAAAGTGAAATGTTTCTGACCTGCCTGGTCCTCCTTGAGGGTGTTGGAGATGGTGGAGCCAGTGAGAGCAGCGAGGGTGGCCGAGGGGGAGGCGCGGTACCGGGACAGGCGGCTCAGCAGCATCTCATTGATGCTCTTGGCAGATTCCCCCTCTTTCCTCATCAGGATAATTCTTTCCTGCAGAGGATTTGCTATACAAATGCCATTTTCTACCTGGTAAAATGGGGGGGAAAAAATACTTTAGTTGTTGGAATCTATAGGTGAGAGATCATCCAAATTGTGTCAGGCAGGAATATGAAGTAAAACTTTGCTGACAGAAGTTCTTGCAAAAATAAAGTTCTGAAAGCAAGACAGGAGTATTTTTTTTGTTTGTGATTTCATGGGTCAATAAAAAAATTCAATAGAAGATATCTAACATCTTTGAGATATTTAATAAGATATCTTCTATTTATGCCTCTTCTTAAAGACAGAACTGCTTGTCGTAAACTTGAGTTTATTTAGGAAACTCTGCTTAAAAATATGTAATCCTCTTGTATTTTCTTAGTGGTGTTTCACTTGCAAATCATTTAGCTCAATCATTTTTCCAGGCAAAAAGTGTGAGCAATGATTTCTTCAGACCATGATGTTCAGGGGATGTTTTACTGCAGAATGCATCTCTTAATGAAGATGTGATTTAGGGTGTTAGGGATTTTCCATGAGTTGTACTACTACAGCCTCCCAATTCCAGCTCCACCATCCCACTCCATCCTCCTCTGCTGAGCAGAAATACAGACATAAAAAACACATTTTATGCTACAAGAGAACTCATATTGCTAAATATAATAATCCTCTGGAGAGGGAATTGGACAGTTCACCTTCTGTTCTGTTCAGTTATTTCACATAAATCCATTCAGATCACGCCCATAAATATCCAAACCTAATATATCAATTAAAAAATGCTGATATTTAATTAAACTGGGTTATGCTACCAACATCAGGCATAGAAAACACACAATTTGCTTACTATAATTTCAAAAATATCCATAAAGACAGAGTGGCCTTTGGGGGTTTTTTCGTTGAGGCTTGCAGGAGACCAAATCCAGTAGAAAAAGGTGCCATCTGAAGAAAGATGCACGGTGGTCATAGTGCTGCCAACTGGGAAGTGATTTACTGGCATTGGGATTATCTGACATACCTATGAGACAGAAAGCATCTTAACAGGTCAGATTTTGCAGTTTGGCCTTACAAGTATGAACAGTATGAAAAATAGAGATCAAATGCAGTTAGTGCAGAAGAGGCTTAATATTGGACTTAGTAGTAGCATTACATTGATTTATTACCAACAGCTATTCTGTGATATTTGCCAAATATCCAAACCAGCTCACAGATCTCAAATTTAACCTATCTAAAAATAAAAGGATCATCTCCTCTCTAATGATGGAGAACAAACCCACAGTACCACAAGGAAAACACACATCCTATTGAGTCACCTACTTTCTGCAACTCCTCTTAAACATTGCTTTAAAATTGAGAAGAAAAGGGGAATCTAAACATTTTCAGTGTCAGAAAACACACTGGACATAAATGTGTGTATCCATCCTTAAAACCACAGCAGGAAAAACCCCAAAGTAAACAAACTACCCCAGTTTTACAAAGGGCAACAGTTGTTTATCTACAAATCACAACCAGATCTGAAACACCTGAATTTTGGGACAGGGGAAGAACAAAGAGCTGCTCAGGAAGAACATGTTCTTCATTTGAATCAAGTTCCATTTTGCTGTTGTTTGACTGCTTTAAGATGGGACCACACTGGAATCATGGAATATCCTGAGTGGGAAGGGATCCACAGGGATCATTATCAAACTCCGGCCCTGCACAGACACCCCAACAATGCCACCCTGTGCATCTCTGGGAGCATTGTCCAAATGCTCCTGAAGTTCTGGCAGCCCTGACCATGCCCTGGGGAGCCTGGGCAGTGCCCAGCACCTTCTGAAGGAAGAACCTTCCCCTGATACCCAACCTAACCCTGTCCTGACACAGCTCCAGCTGTTCCCTGGGTCCTGTCCCTGGATTGGAGCTGCCTCTCCTGAGGAAGCTGTGGATTGGGCTGAGGTCTCTCCTCAGTCTCCTCCAGGCTGAACAAGCTCTACCAGTACCCCATAATACAGAACAGTGTAATTATAGATAAATACATATATTTATATATAAGACACATTGAAACAGTAACATCTGTACCATAACTTCCACATTCACCACACAGCGCTTCAAGGCGGGGTTAGAAAAACGCAGTTTCACAAAACGAGAAACTTCAAAGATAAAACCAATTAAAGCTAAAATGTGTGTGATTCATTCAGCCTGCTTTGTTCCTGCCCCATAACCCTGTCCCTTTTACCTGCAGGGTATGTTGATCCACGAGCTGGAACAGGTAGTGAGGTTTGCTATCAAAGGACACGGGCCGATGGAGGAGTTTGCCATTGCCAAAAGCCACCCAGCCCGTCTCCAGCTCCTCGTTCCGGCAGTACACAAACCCCCTGGAAAAAACCCACCAGGATGTTCAAACTCCTTCAACCCTGCCCTGCTTCTTAGGGTTTTATTTCAAATAACAACCACAATGCAACCACAGTGTTGAACTTTGACTGAACTTATACTCAAGTCAGCAATTTTTGTTGTGAAAGGCTTTAAGCGTAAAAAGCCTCGTGGTTTTTAAGCAATGAAGAAGCAAGGAGGTACAGTGAGTCACAGCTGCACTAATTACTTAATGAATCACATAATTAGCAAACAAACACTCACAAACTCAGCTATAAATAAGAAATCACAGAACTGGTCTGTAGTATATTCCTCTCAGCAGAGAATCAACCAACATACTAGACATTAAAAAATAAAATTGAATTTAAAATTCTGCTGCTGTGGAGGTTGAACTAATGGTCTCTACAGGTCTCTTCCAACCTCAACTTGTTCTTTTATTTTAGACAAAACACACTCCAGAAGAATTTCAGATGAGAAACCAAACACATTAAAATAGCATTTAATGAAAATTCACAATATCATGGAATCACAGACTGGTTTGGGTTGGGAGGGACCTTAGAGACCACCTCCTTCCAATTCTCCAGTTTTGCTACTCCCAACATCTGGGAGAGGTGTCCCAAAACAGGAACCTTTGGGTTTCAGCAGCTCTGCAGTGTCCCTTACCTCAGAGTCCCGTGCAGGCCTGACCCCAGTTTGCTGATTCCCCTGCCCACGGAATTGGTGGTGTACAGGTAGAGCCCATCGGCCGCAAGGCACCGGCCCAGGTCTGCATCTGCAGCAGGAGCAAGGACAGCAGAGAGCAGCTCTGTAACATTCCAGCTGGGAATTCTCCCTGGGGGTCACACCCCATGGAAACCAGCACATGCTCATGGCAGCTCACTACCAGCCCTTTTTGAATACCAAATTTACTATTTGGTGCTCTAAGAGCTGCTGTAACACAGGCACAGCCCAGCAGACCCAGTGAATTTTTTCACAACTCCTTCAAGCCTCAAGAGGTGCCCAAATGGTCTCACTCAGTGTGAGAGGGAAGAAGAATCTAATATTGAGCCTTAATCTACTTTCTGCCAAACTCTGTGATTCTCCTAAAGCTGCTCAGATCTTTTCACTTCTGAACACTTCAATTAAGACAAAGTGTATTTGAAACAAAGAGCAGTAATTATTAATAATCAAGATGGGACACAAGTCCAGCCATCTATTGGCGTTCAAAGGATCTGGACACTCAGCTCAGGAGGGAAAAGTCCACTCACTCTCTTGCCTAAACACCTAAAAAGAGATGTCTCCAATAAATCTCCAGGTAAAATAACAGCTCAGATTTTTAAACTCCTATGGATTGCATTAAATGCCATCAAAGCTTGAACTAGTATTTCTAAAACCATGTGAACTCTTATTTATTACAAAAATAGTAAGCAAACAAAGCAGTAAAAACTGAGAATGAATTCAGGAAAAGAAATACAAAAGAAAGCATTAAAAAAAGAACTTCAAACTCAACTGGGTAGAAACAAAAGCAGAGTAGGGAAGAGGGGAAAAACAAAACAATGAACTTGTACTTCTAAAAATAAACTTGCTGTGCCACTGATAGCTGGCTGTTGAACACAGGAATACTGCACAGGGCAGTGATTATGCTCTAACGAGGGGATAATATCCAAACTCTGTCTGACCCCTCTGAAAAATTCCCACTGGAGTCAGGAAGGGTCACTGGATCAACTGCTTTGGAGTGCTTCCCACAAACTGACAGTTCAAACCAGCAGCTGCTCTTCAGCAACATTTTTTGAGCCCCAACTCTCAAGTTTTACATTCATCTTTAAATAATTATCAGCACTTAAAGCATCCTGTCCTCTTCTGCTGACGGTGACAGGGATGAAATAATTCACCTTTATTCTCACTGCTGGCACCAGTGTTGGCATCAGGGGCAGGTAACATGTCCTCAAAGCCCCAGGACACGATGTGCTTCCCTCCAAGCAGGCAGGAGGGGGATCCAGGGCCTCCCTCCAAAAGCAACAACCTTTAAGCAGAAAATTAAATAAAATTTTATAAAGAATAGCGGTAGGAAAAATGAGCTAAATTAAAAGTTAAGACAATGATGTATTTAAAGTAATTATTCAGTCAGAGTTCACAAGTCATTTAAAGGAATCATCAATATTTAATGAAAAAATAAAAACAACACCCCAAATCAAATCAATGCTTTTAGGTTTGATTTTCTAATGTCTTCTACACATGACTAAATCTTCCCTAAAGCTTTCAATAACTCTAAAGCGTTTTAATCACTTTTAAAGACATTCCTCCCTACATGCACTCAACACATTTTCAGAGCTTCTGGAAAAGTTTACAAGGAGAAAAGTTCTACAAACCTGTAGAGAACATCAGCCACAGGCAGGGACCCCAGCTCAGTCTGTTTCTGTAATAGATGCACTGTATGAACAAAGGTTTTCAGCGACCCTCTAAAAGGACAAGAAAAACATGAATTAAAGATGTCTATTGAAGCCAGACTGAACACACACAACAGCAGCCATGGAGAACACCCAGAACCACCGCCATGATATGGCATCAGTTTCTTTTCTAACTGGCATTTCTTTCCTGGAGGATGTTCATTCTTTGGGGAGGAAGGGGAAGGAGGAAGAGAGGGGGACAGGCAGAATGCTGGGGAACCTCTGGCCTAAATTCCACCACCTTTTTTTGGAAGAGGCTGAAGCCCCAGTTGGGAGGAGAGCAGCAGCCACAGGCTGGGTCATCAACAACAGGCTCATAAAGGCAATCCAGGCACCTGAAAAAACACCTCAACCTTGCTCCTGAGGCAGCTCTTTCAGGACTTCTTGTAGCTGATTAATCACATTCAGATCTCCAGTGCAACCCATGGATCTTCCTGGCTGAGCCCAAGTGTGAGCAAGGGCAGTTGCGTTCCCACCTGGAGATGCCTTCCCTAACTCAAATAGGGAAGACCAGACTCATCCATTTCTTACCAAGATTCTGATTTCCTTTCACAGAATCATGGAATATCCTGAGTTGGAAGGAACCACAAGGATCATCATCCAGCTCCAGGCCCTGCACAGACACCCCCACAATCCCAGGCTGTCCCTGAGAGCACTGTCCAAGTGCTCCTGGAGCTCTGGCAGCCTCAGGGCTGTGCCCATTCCTTGGGGAGTCTGGACAGTGCCCAGCACCTTTCCCTGATCTCCAACCTAAACCCCCCGGACAAAGCTCCAGCTGTTCCCTGGTCCTGTCCCTGCCCCAGAGATCAGGGCTGTCCCTGCATTGCCCCTCCTGAGGAAGTTGTGCATTGGGATGAGGTCTCCCCTCACAACCACAAATTTGGAAGATCCAGACATCTTTAAAAAGCTGTATTTTACAATTTCTGTTTTAAAAGTCAGAGCCATTTTCTAGAAGATGTGGTTGCTTTATTTCCAGGCATCACAGCCCACCTAAGTAGGAGAATTTGGCTGTGTCTTAAGTCAGTTATGAGCTGCTTTCTTCACAAACAGGAGTGATCAGCTGCAGAGATCCTTGCCCTGCACTCTGCTGAATCCAACCTTTTGCTGTCACATGTGGTCACTCAGCTCCCAAAGTTCCCTCCTCCACACCCCAATCCCTGTTTTCCCCAGTGACATCTTCAGCTCTTTGCTTTCACTGATAAACCTCAGCCTGGAGAAAATTGACACCAAACACATTAAAGCACCTCAATTAATTATTTAAAGCAATATTTACCCTGTTGTTTTATTTTTAGCAGTAAGAAGCACCCAAGATTGCAACTAGGAATGTCAATAAGAGTCTCATTTTCAAGGTTTTTTTCTTCAACACATGACTTCGATATTTAAAGGAAAAGTGTGAGGCTTTCAGAGGTGAACAAAGCACAATGGGATATTTCAAGTCTCTAAGCAATGCAAGGCAGACTTGCAAAGAAAATAAAAGATCAACCTGAAGTTCAAAAGCTCTACTTGAAATTTAGCTCAGCTGCAACAGAACATCCCATATTTCCTGCAAATTGACATCTGGGAAAAAAAAAGAAATGAGATTGTGTTTATCAAATCCAATTTCTCTGAGCTATGTTCAAGTACATTGCCTTTCAGATAAGGCAGTTGTCAGGACAGAATAATTTGCTACATACCATAAATTTCTCATTGACTTCATTAAAACAAGTGCACTAGAAATTAAGTAGGTTTCATTTGAATAAACCTTTTCCTAAAGCAAATCATGCCATATCCTGGGAACTCCAAAATCTTAAATCAGAGTTAAACTTCACAGACAAAGATACGACCTGGAGAAACATTCAAGCCAACATTTCCAAAAGGCTCTTTGTGACTTTAAAGCCACATTCATGGGGCTTTGCAGAGGTTTTGTATTTCCTCCCCCTCTCCCCAAGCTCCATCCTCTAAAAAAAGTAGGGTTTGATTAAAAGCAAATATGTCCAATTTGTCCTCAATCACTTGATGCCAAACCCATGCAGGGCAAGGGGTATTTTCATCTACAACGGCTGAACTCCTCACTGGCAACAAAATTAAAAAATACCTCCAGACATTTGAGAGACAACACTGAGATCAAATCTGAAAGGACTTGCCCTAAAACCTGGCAGTTCCACCTTCTGCAGCCAAAGAAAGGTGCAGGACAAAGGGAAAAGGAGACAACTTTTCTCCCTGATAAACACATTTGGAACCATTCCTAGAGCAGCTCACTGCAGTAGAAGCAGCAATGTGCACACGAGGCATTGCTAACCCAGATCCTTCTGCTTCTGCATATGCTAAACACATGCAAAAAAGAAATGCTTACCAGTTTCACCCCTTCCAACCCAATATTTAAATATCAGAAAGAGAAAGGCTGGTTCAAGCTAAAAATAACTATCACCAGTGCAGTCACATAATTTTTGATTTGTTTCAATGGAAAGAGGGAGTGAACACCAAGCACAGCATTGCCCAGGGGTGCTGGAGTCACCACCTGGAAGGGTTCAAAAACCGTGGATGTGGAATCTGGCGATACGGTTAACGATGAATCATGGCTGGACTTTGCCAAAGTTGCTTCATTCTCTCTATTTTGCCAGTAAACTTTTGTGGGCTTGTGACCCCTCAGAGAACATCTGGCTGAGATTTCGCCTTACGCCAAACCTCAAGAACCTCAGCTGAACCCTTGAATTTGAGAATTCCAGGGTGTTACATCCAATCTTACCAACCCTATGACTCTGTTATTTCAGCTCTCTTACCTTGCACAAGCCAAGGCAACCAGGGCAGCAGCAGCATTTTCCTTCTGCTTGTAAGGGATGTGCTGGCCGGAGGGCGCCGTGTCCTCCAGCCAGGAGCAGAGCAGCGACTCGATCCCGTTGAGGCAGTCGGCCGGCTCCTTGGTCAGGCTCAGGGGCTGGCAGTCCCGAAGGCAATTCAGCAGCACCTCAGCAGTGATGTTACACAGCGAAGGGTCCGTCCTGCTCTGCGACTGGATCAGCGGGAACACCAGCAGCAGCCCCATGCGGGAGGTGAAGGGAGCCTGCTCCGGCTGCTGTAACAAGCCCTGGCGCTTGAGCAGGGCCAGGGCCTCCTCGTCCCCGGAGCTCTCGCGGTCGTGCTGCTCCTCCAGGGCCAGCTGGCGCTGGGCGTTCCAGAGCCCGCGCAGGGCGTTCAGCCGGTACTCCAGGAGCCGCGCGTACGCGTTGCTCTGGTTGCCGCACACCGAGCGCAAGCGCTCCGCCAGCTCCGTCGGGTTCTTGGTCTCGAAGGTCAGGATCTGGAAAAGGGGAAAGTGGGTGTTTATAGAGGGTTTTAAAGGGGGAAAAAAGTCTCATATGGTTGTGGTGTGATGTTTAGATCAGCTGCTCTCTGCAGCAGATGGAGGGATATTATTTTTAATTTCTGGGGCGAAAGAACAGGCAAGTGGTGTTGTGTCCATCTTGGGATGACGAGTGATGGCCATAAACTAAAACACATGGAATAAACTAAAACACATGGAACCCCATGAGCCACTGTCCATGGAGGATGGCAAAGGACTGGGACAACTGCCCAGGGAGGGTGTGGAGTCTCTCTCTCAGGACATGTCCCTGTGTCACCTGCTCTCGGTGACCCTGCCTTGGCAGGGGTTTGGACTGAGGGATCTCCCAAGATCCCTTCCCACGCCACTGCTGTGGGATTCTGTCAGCCTGTTATTGCTGAGTCAGCATCATCACCAAACCCAGGTTTGGGGGTTGCTGGCGGGGATTTTTAAGCTTTCAATAAACAACAACACAGACTGTAAAGAAAAATACACATACGAAAGAGTAGCTTGCAAAACAAACACTCCCCTCTCCTCTGGAGCCTTTTTCTGTAATCGAGGCAATTTTGCTAAAAACTTCAAAAGAACTGCGAGGTTGGAGGGTCCCAGGGGTTTGGAGCCCTTCTATGAAAACTGATAGGTCACTAATATTGTGTAACAAGAACATGCTTGTTCTAGTTTTGGAGCTCTTCAAATAAACAAACAAACCAACCAACCAACCAGTTTATTCCAATTCACCAAGAGTTCTGTTACACTCTCTCCCTCCCCTGCTTTTTTCTCTCTTAAATTTTATCATCTTGCACTTAGCTACACCTTTCTCAAAATACTTCAAGCTGCTGCTGTAGTTAAAAACCCTAAAAATCTCCTCCTCATCATTTCAGACAGAAGAAAGAGGCTTTTTTGGCACTTCTATATAAAACTGGAAACCAAGTTGGAACAACAGAAAACAAATAAAGCATGACACAAAAATATATTTATGGTTTAATACCCATCCTGGGACTGGAAAATTCAGAGTTTTAAGTGATTTATAGACAACTTTTCTCCTTCCAGCAAACAACAGTGGAGATCAGCAAAGTCACTGAAGCTGTGGCAAGCTCAAGGAAAGCCATGAGCCAAGCATTTTCTGATACTCTGGATCCAGTGTCCAAAGGGATTTGGTATCCAAAGGGCTTCTGGCCGTGCTCCAAAGTGCCTCAATTCATCCACCCTCAAACACAATTTTGGCCCATCTTTATGCTGTAAAGCTGTTCTTCTCTAATTTAATAAATAAATATAAACGTGGGAAGGGGAATGTGAGAGACAAAGCTGCCATGGGGAACGGCATCCAGGGCTGATTGTTTTGTGGGGTTTTTTAATTGCAGGCAGCAGTCACAGAGATCATGAAATAAATGTTTCTGGCTAATTGCAGACTCCTGAACAGCTTGTTAAAATGCTGCAGGACAAATCATATCTGCCAGTGCCACACAGCCCCTGACTAAAGGCAAAGAAACAGCTTTGCAGTTGGACTTTGACCACTAGAGCCAGGAAAAGTTCACCTGAAAGGAATTCATATCCTAATTACACTTGAATGGATGTTGTATTGAGCTCCTTATACCTAATAAACCTCCTTTAATTAACTTCTCCAAAAGATTATGAATATTAATTCCTAAACCACATATTACACATTTAAAATAACCACCTCCTGTTGTGTGTTCTGCTGCCTCAAAAATAAGTTTGTTTCCTGTTCTAGATGGAATCTCTTTCTACAACAGCTGGCTTTTGATTTTCTTGAACTAAACTGGGTGGATTTTCTACCAAGTGACAACAAGCTGCAGAAATGGAGGAAAAAGAGAATGAATATTTGCATTTTCAGAGATAAATGCTGAAGGAAACAGATCTGTGGTCTTTGTTAATAACAATCACACCACCACAAAAGACAAGCTGTGATGTACTTGGTGTTGCATGTCTTGCTCCTCAAATCCCACAGTTTAACAGGAAAATGAATTTTTTTTGGCCTTTGATATGGCTCTACAGCTCTGAGTCTGTCTTGTAGCAATCAGGACGAGTCAGTGTCATCAGTTTTGCTGATGAAAAGCCTTTTCTTGCTGAAGTTTTAGTTTCTCCCTGATCCCACAGTTCCCAATTTGCTTTAAAAGCATGCATGGTCTGTCTGGGATTTGCCCCAGTCTTTCATAAGGGAAATGAGCACTCATTTGGGTAAATGATACAGGAAGTACATCAGCTTCAACAGATTTACAAGATCATTCCAAAATGGGACTTCGAGACTTCTGATAATGCAGTTTACATCATCTGATTTTCATACAAGGCTTATGGAACCAGTGGGAAAAACCTTAATTTTTCAAAATCATCTGAGGGTCTAAGCAGGCATCTGCATTTCCAGAAAACAAGAGGATGTTAGAAGAAAGATGTGAGGTCATCTGCTGTACAGGACACTTCAGCAAATTAAATTAAAGGCTGTTTTCCTCAAAAGCCTTTTTACTAGAGGTCAGTACTCAGAGCTACCTCCAGAAAGGAGCCTGAAGACCAAATGTTCCCAGTGAGGCTGGGACAAACCAGTCCTGGAGCTTCCAGGGTTCAGACACATCCCAGGGAACTGCTCTGGCTCTCCCTGAGAGCCAAATCCAGCCCTTCCCACCCCAACAGTGCCAGAGCTTCACTTGGCCCCTGCCAGATCCATCAGTGCTTCCCTCTGGATACATTAAAGCCTCCACAGAGGAATTCCAGTCCTTGCCAGGATATCTCCAGGCAAAGCTTGTCATCTTCCAACTATCGGAAGTCAAAACAAGTTAAAATAAAATGCAAGAAAACCCCCATCATGTTCTTTCACAAATTCTGATACAAACACCACAACTACCAGGGTTTATAAAAGGCAAAATTCCCTTTCCTGCTGCCTCTGGGCTGCCTCAGGATTTATACCTGAGCCTCAGCTCTGATTTGGGACTGATTCCCAGCAGCCTTTTGGGGTGCCTCATATTTCCCTGTGCATCACCTGGGGAGGTGTCAGGGGCAGGCACCAAACCCAGCCCCACACAAACCTCACTGAAGCAGTTCCTGATCCATCACTTCCCAACTCCAAACATTCCTGACTAACAAGGCTTGAACAGAATCAAAGAGGATGAAGAGGATGTAACAAACATCACTTTGCCATAGTACAAGTTATCCAAGCAGCTACTTACATATCACTAAAAACTGTTATTAAGTAGTTTAATTGTCACTATTTTAATTTTACAGTATCTTATCCTTACCCACTACTTCCTTGTTTGATCTTTTAAATCAATTTTAGTCAATATTTTAATTAGAAAATGGCAGAGCCAAAGTTCAGTCACTCTAATTGGTCTTTGACATCTTCTTCAACACCGAGAAGCACAAAATGTATCTGATTTTAGATGAACTATGGGGAGGTGTCATCTTTCCCACTGTATCCAATACTTGTCCTTTTGCATCCCACTACATGACCTCACCCAGGTAACTCTTCCCATCAAACAGAATTTTTGCCAAATTTCCTCCAGAAAGGAGCGGCTGACAGTCCCTATTTTCAGGACAACATGTTTCTCTGCTGATAGTAAATACCAGACTGAGTACAATTAACACACACTAATATACATGAAGAGTTTTAGCCTGAGGTTTTATGACCCTATTAAGTAAATCTAAATGTGAGCTGTCACTAAAAGGCAGCTTTCTCCCCTGGCTACAATTCCTGCCCCTTGTCCTCTCCCTGGTGCCTGTGGGGGGTGTGTATTTTAATTTAATCAGGGAACTGAGGAGCAGGGAAGTTGTGCACAAAGAGGGGTTTTTATCCTGAACTTGCAAATTGGAAGGGGAAGCCACTAAATCTCCCCAACAACATTTAATTTCTTTCCACAGTTCAACTGGCTGAAGTTCACCTGTGAAGATGAAGACGGTGGAACATTTATCAGGATCAATTACAGCCTATACCTCCCTGAATATTAAACATGGATTATTCCCATCTCACAGGAGGTACAAACCAGACAAAAAACACAGAAACAGCCTCAAAATTGTAAAATATCTTTAAAAGCAGCATGAAAAAAATTAATTCTATTCCTTTGACCACCCCATTACAGGTATAAGGTCATTCCTCTTGTACAGAATTAACAGAGAGGCAGCACCACTTGTTTACTCGGCTCTTTTGTCTCTAGAAACACCAATAAAACAATGTAAAAAGACTGAATTACAAAAAGTATGGATTATTCTGTAAGAGAAAGAGCACAAGTGACAGCTTTAAAGGTACCCTGAAGATTGAAATACACATCCCAAGTGAACCTGCTCCATGAACAACCCTGTGTCCTTGTCTCCCACTGTGCTGGGGAACAGCCTCCTGCTCCTGGCATTTTCTGGGACATCCAGTGCGAAGCTGCCTCGGTGCAAAACCCACCTGAATTTCCTCTAAAACATTTCCTAGCCCCTCTCTAAGGCTTTTTCCTTGCTACACCACGTGCCAAATATACAAATACGTGTGAACATTTTCTCCCTGATGTTTTAGCAGCTGCTGCACTTTACACCGTGCTTTAGGGTTGCAGTTAAAAAACTACAAGTCTCAAGGTTGTTCCAATTTTTTCTGCTCCAAGAAATGTTAACCTTATCCTCTTGTTCACAGCCTCTGCTGAGTCCTGTGTGGAGCAGTGCAGTTTTTAACTACTCAGCTAAAAGCAGAACCTATTTTCTTTTGTGAAAGCACTGGAAATCTCATTGCTCACAAATAAGCACTAAGATACCACTATCTTTTACAATTTTATCCCAAATCATTTTTTAACCATACAAATTTATGAAATAACCTTCATATCTGAGATGAATTACAGAGAACAAGCAAGCTGTAAACAAGTAAAATGCTATAAAGTGTTGTTTCTTTGTTCATTAAAATATTTCTTTGGCTCTTACTCAAGTAGTAGGTGAAAACAGCTGCAAAAGGTAAAGAAAAATCTTTGTAATTTAAACATCTGAGAGTGCAGATCACTGAATTAATAAGCTGCAACTGGTAACAAGATCTATATTTGGGAAACAGATTTGCAAAATCATCCTTGAGAAGTTTCCTAACGTTTCACTACAAGGTTACCTAAAATACAACTTCAAAACTCCAAAGTCAGAGGGACAGTGGTCCATATTAGAGAAGTTTATTAAATTCCCAGTCCTGGCAGAGGACCCCTGGGGCACTGGAAGGGGGGGCACGGGCAGGATGAGGGTGTTCCAAGCCTGCCACATGCCCGGATCAGCAGTTTTCAAGTCAGAGGTCACAACCCCAGGAAGGGTCACCCACTTAGGAAGGAGTCAATTGTTGATGGTGGCATTAGGGACTTTCAGCATGACAGAGGTGACGCTTGTAGATGGCAGAAAGGTCACAAGCAGAAAGGTTTGGGAAGCACTGACCCAGATAATTGCAGGGAGCTGCTCTCTCCTTCAGCAATCAGGCAAAAGTGACAAAATGTTTTCTCTGGGTCGAGAGGAAAATGGGTGAAAACTTCCAAGTTTAGCAGAAACCTTCCAGTCTAAATCATTTTATGGCAAACACAAGTCAGTCACAGGATTGGCACATGCTGAGAAAAGAGCACTGGACTTCAACTCTTCAACCTCTCTGTGGAGAGCCAGCCCAGGCCCCACTGGGGGGAAGAGGAAAAACCACCACTTTTTCTTTGTTTCATTTTTATTATTTTTTTTACCTTTCACTTGATAAAGGTAACTATTTTCAGTGCAGAGCCACACCTGCCCAGTAGCACCTCACTCTGGCCTACAGAACAGAGCTCAACAAGAGTCCAGGTGAGGACAGACATGATCCCAACAGCTACTGAGGGAGGAGCTGCACTCCCAGCTCCATGGGAAAACCAGACGAAGGCTCCCTGCCCACGGCAGGAGGGGATTCTGGATGATCTTCACCCCAAACCATTCTGGGATTCTGTGGAATCTTAAGGAACTGCCCTTCCTGCACTCCATGTCCCTCCTGGACGGGCACTGACCAACCACAATGTCATGGTAACACCTCCAGCTTTGTCACTGAGGGTTGTCTCCAAGAAGGAGAAGACTTTGCTCTTTCAAAGATTTCTCTGTGTGAAAGGTTTTAAAATAAAGGTCCAAAGGCTTCTGTAATCACTGACTAATCCAGGTCTCTCCTGACTAGAGGATTTTAGTGGGAAACCTGCACCAGGTGCAGCTGGTTCACGCACAATGTTACAAAATTCTATCAAATTTTTTTTAAAAGCCCTAATTTTCTGTTAATATGCTGAAACAATCTAAGAAGTTGGCACACATCATCACAGAAAAAATAAAAACAGAGCAAAAGCCTCCACACCCTTTAAAACTCAACATACTCCTAGAACAAGCCGAAAGAGAAGATTTAGGCTCTTGAAACATACCATTAAAGTACATGTGTATAAATACAAGTGGATACAAATACACAAAAAGATCAAATCAAAGCTGCATGGGAGTCAAAATAACAAAAATAATAAGTTTCCATAAGCCTTTCTTGGCATAACACCAGCACTGTAACATTTTTTCCTCTGCTTTTCTTTTTATAAATAGACAGAACCTTTGAACAGAAGGACAAAGGAAACACATCCAAACACTCTGACATTAGTCACCAATACGCTCTTTAAACGGATATTTGGGCAAAACAGACCAGAATGATACTTCTCCACCCAAAAAAAAAATCCATTAAAGTATTAAACATTATACATTTTTAATTAAGCACTTCAGCTCCGAAATTCAGCCAGGCTTCTGACCACCACTGATGAAGCACAAGAAGTGAATTAAAGAAGTTTCCTAATCAAAGCAGCAGCTGCAGCATCTCCTACCCTTGGCCAATAGCACATCCCAAGAGATTTCTGTTTGGACCATTTTCAAAGATATTTATTACACTGCAAGTAGGAGTAGAAAGAGTGTAAATGAGCTCTTGTGTAGCAGTCGATTGCATGGCCATGCTTCAATCAGATGTGTGCACCTATTTCCACAAAATGGCTCCTCAAAGCCATTCCACATCACCAAAGTACCCCTTATTTAAATTAAAAAACAGCATTAAGAAAAGGCAGAGAAAAGTTATGAGCTAAATACTTTGCATTTGCACCAGGTAAAATTTTATTTTTGAAAACCTTTCCCCCTCAATACCAAACTAAACAAATCTGCAGATATCTGAAAATGAAATTGATTGCTTGTGATCATCAATTCTATCAGTAGATGGAAATAAAAGGTTTTAATAAGCTGTGACTTAAGAATAAAGATCAATATAAGTCAAAATCAGTACTTATCAAAAATAAGCGCCACAGCAAAAAGTCATATTTAATTATTTATTCCAAAGTTTTGCACTGCAAACACGAACAGGAAAAGAATCTCTGGAACCGAAAAAATGAGGTGAATCAGTGGCACTGGATTGCTGCAACACTTGTTATAATAAATGTCAAAGCACAAGACACAGTAGCACCAATTCCATTCCTATCTCTCCCAAACAACTGGAGTTTTAGAACATTCCTAACATCAACGAAAAAATTCTCCAGAGCTGAAGTGTTTGTCGAGTGAAGCTGTGTGTCAAGTTTCAGGCTGGAACACACTTCTGGCCTGGCCGGCAGGATCTTAAAATAAGGTCTTGTTTGTTTTTTAAAGGATATCCTCCTTTCTTATGATATAACAAGAAAAAATGCTGTGGGAGCACGTTATTTTTCTAGCACAGTTTTTAAACTCAATGCTGCTTCTAGAACTATGCCATGGAATCAAAATATTTTCTTGAATCCAAGCTGCACTGAATGCCAGAGCAACTCTGATCACAAGGGAGAATCATTCCATGTTTATACACACAGAGATAAGTCAGCCACCTTAAAAATCTCCCTTTTCCTGTTCATGTGATATTTGCCAACATCCATTTCATGGGAGCAGCTGATTTCTCCATGCCATTCCTCAGTGTCCCAACACACAGGACAGAAAATGCACGGTTGCAGAAAATATCTTCCCTTAGATAAGGCTGGGGGAAGTTTCCCCAAAGCCCGTAAAGGTTCCACGTCACCCAGTGAACAATAACGTTGTCAGGACTGCTCGTGGGTTCTTCTCAGCAACAGCCCAGACAGCAGCTAAAGCCTCACTAAAGGGGTTTTTCAGCCTAAAATGCCTGGGACCAAACAGAGCCCGGAGATAAAGCTCCGGCTGGAGCGTCCCCTGTGCGCTCCCACCGCTCAGCTCCGGTGACAAAGCCCCTGTGTCATTGCGAGCCACACTGCCGGGGAGGAGGGTGGGGTGAAAGAGGAGAAGGGAGGCACACGGGGGGGAAAAAAAAAATGCAGTCTAGCAAATAGATGCAACCTATAATCCGTGACATTCAGTCCTTCAGCGGCTCCTCCTAAGATAAAACAGCTGCACCGCCTGCCTGCAGCCAACACCAGGGGCAGTTCTGGGAAGGTAAAAAGCTGGGATGGAAATCTGGGCTGCCCTCCTGGGTCCTTAATAATGATCACTGTCAACAGCTGAATAAAACACCCGGGCACCCCCGAGCATGTCGTTGTAAGGCTGATGAATTACAAACCGTCTAAAGTAACAGCAAGAAAACACAAAACCTTCAATAAAAATAAGCGGGCCAAAGGCCACGCTGAAATCTGCGAGTGTGGCTCTGATTTCCAAACCTTACGGATTCAAAACAAGGAGGACGCACCAACACTTCACCCTCCATTTACATCAGCACCTCACCATCCTCCTGCCCAGCTCCACTTTCATTATTATCGGGAATAAATCAGATTGACTCAAGACAAGCAGGACGCCTCGACACCGGCTGGCTCCGGACTCCAGATCCCTCACCCGGCATCCGCACGCAGCATCCTCCATCCGGCCCCCCATCCTCCCCTAGTCATCCTCCCTGCACCCCCATCTCCCATCCCCCCGTCCTCCTCGCCTCAGGCCTCCGCTGCCACCGTGCCCCTCTGCCGAGGGCATCCCCCCCCTCACCCCCTGGCCCTGCCCCGTCCCTCCCCTCAGCTCGGGGGGCCGCCTCACCTCCAGCTCGGTGTCGCCGGGCTCGGCCACCCCAATGATCTCGCTGGGCAGCTCGGCCAGGTCGGTGACCCGGATCAGCCCGTCGTGCAGGAAGATGGTCTCCTCCTTCACCGACAGCCACTGCGCCGAGTCGGTGGCCGCGGCCGCCGAAGCGGCCGCCGGGGACCCCATGGCGCGGAGGGCGGGGGGGCTCCGCAGGGCTGAGGCGAGGCGGGTCCCGCTACCCGCCCATGGCGGGGGCAGGGCGGGGGCAGGCGCGTCCCCAGCGGCCTGGGCGCCGGACAGCCGGGGCGCGGCGGGCAGCAGCGAGGAGCGGCGCGTTGCCACCGCGGCGGCGGCGCTCCGGGGAGCTCCGGGAGCCGCCGTGCCCGCCCGCAGCCCCGCGTCCCGCGCCCGCCTCACACACACCGCTGACAGCGCGACGCCATGTTGGGGGCTGAGGCGCGCCCGGCATGCACCGCGCGGGGAACAATACACCCGGCCCCCTCCCAGCCCGCGGGGCCCCGCCCCTCGCGCCCCGCGGCACCTCCCCGAGAGCCGGGACACGCCCCCAGCGCCGGAGCTCCGCCTTCCTCCGGCCGCTCCCGCAGCTCCGCCCGCGCCGACGGTGCTGCCGGCAGCGCCTAATGCGCGCCGCATGTGCTCCGCTCAGTGCTCCACCCGCACCGGGCACGGCGGATCGTCCGCACTGGGTACAGCGCCTCGCCCGCACCGCGGGGAAGGTAGCAACAGCACCGGGAAGAGCGGGTCATTGCGCCGGGCGCAGCGCCGCAGCCCCACCGGGAGTGCTTCCCTCAGAGCTTCACCCCGCTCATATCGCACCTCAGCGCCTCACCCGCAGGGAGAGCTGATCGCCCGCACAGCGGGGAGGGCATAAACCGCACCGGGTGCGCTCCCCTCAGCGCCGCACCCCGAGGAGCGGATCACCCGCACCGGGTGTTCTCCCCTCAGCGCCTCACCCGGGGAGCGGATCACCCGCACCGGGTGTTCTCCCCTCAGCGCCTCACCCCGGGAGCGGATCACCCGCACCGGCTGTTCTCCCCTCAGTGTCTCACCCCGGGGAGCGCGCCTCGCCTCATTCCTCAGGGATTGCTCCCCTCAGCCCCTCGCGGGACGGTCCCCTCAGGGCCTCACATCGCTCCCCTGGCGCTGCCCCGGCGTCTCACCCTCATGGAATGGCCGCTCCCTCAGCCCTTCACCTCCCTCCACCCTTCGCCCGGACCGAGAGCTGCTCCCTCAGTGCTGTTCTCCTCAGTTTCTCTCTCAACACTCTTGGATTCATTTACTGGGCCCCTCTGAAACTCCCCATTTCCCTCCAGGGCTGGTCCCTCTTGGTCCCTCACGTTCCCCTCATGGTTGTTTCTCCTCTCCCTCAGCCCTGCTCATCCCTATTTTGGCTGTCCCCTCATAGAATGATTTCCCTTTCTCCCTTCTCCTTGCCCCTCTCTGTCACCATCTTGCAGGAATCCTGTCACCTCTCAAGGAGCTTTTCCCAAAGAACTCGTGAGCAAGCAGGTATGTCCCTTCAAATCTGTACTTCTGGATTTATGGATTCCAGAGGGTGTGAAGTAAAAGGGTTGCAACACCTCAGTTTGTGTGGAAAGAAGGGGATCCAGAGGAAAACTGATCCTTCTTTCCCAGCCTAATTTCACCCTCAGTTCCCTCAGACCTCACCCTGAGCCCGTTCAGGGGCACAAAGTGTCAGAGGCAGCTGTACCTGGATGTTCAGCAAAGGACGTGCTGCCGAGACAAATCATGTTAATGAGAGAGACGTGGTGATAAATGTTAAATAGTTTTAGTGGATAATTGCTGTGGGGATTCCCATTGCAAGTGTCTGCTTTTCATGGAACAGTGACTGTGCACAATTGAGCAGAGATAGAGCTCTATGCATTTATTTACCTGTTTGATCAGATTAAATTATTTAACATATCAGTGCATTATAACAAATGTGCTGTGCTATTGCAGGAAAAGCTTATTCAGAGTTGGAGTAAAACAAGATCTACCACCAGTGCTTTATATCCTATTTAAATCTGGTTGGGAAGAAGCATATTTTTCCATGTAATGGATGACCACTCAACATAGGACCCATGCAAAGCCCTTTTGTAGCATTGATTCAGCAATGTGAGCACTCACACTATTGTGAAGCTTGTTTTTGAGGCCACTTCAGTTGACACAGGGTTCAGGTAAGTTCAAACAAGCAGTAATTTAGAGATCTGTGTGATAGCTCTGTGCACTCTTTGGTAGGACATCCCTGCTATTCATGTGCTGGAGAGCAGAAGAGTCTCCAGGCTTGGTTTATTCTAAAAATAGATATTATTTGCCTCTGTGCAGCAGTAATTTCTGATCAGGGAGAGTGTGCAGAGCTGCTATCAAAAGTTTTTATGAGGGAAAAGCTCCATGGACATCTGTTATTTTTGGTCAAGACGTGACAGAGAGAACAACGGCTGCAGACGGACCCTGATCCACCCGTGGAAGCCCTGGGAGGAGTCAGAAGAGAGGGAACGCTGAGACTGGAAGATTTTATGGCAGGTGGGATGTGGCAGCTGAGTTCTGGCAGGGGAGATAAGCCAGGCTCCCGAAGGTTCCTTGGAGCCAGGGAAAAACTTCGCTCCTGGGGTTGGATTAGTCACAACATTTCAAGGGCAGACAGCCACGGGTGTTACTGTTGTTGTTTTGTTCCCAGCGTGGGAGTTTGACATTGTTTTCGTTCATCCACACGTGAGAGGAACAGAGGGAGAGAAACACAAAGTGTGTGTGCATTTTAGTGGGAGTAGCATTCCACCAAAAAAGCATTCCATGTTTAGATCTTGTGGTACTATCATGGTGCTAGTTGAGTATCTTCCACAAAATCAACACAAACAGCAGAGCTGGGAGTCAGGTGGGATGTTCCCTTCACAAGCAAGGAGAAGGACATCAGCAGAAGGGGTTTGCAGTGTTTTCCAGAGGTTTGGATGTACCTGTTCTCCAAAGGGATGTTTCACAGGCTGGGTAACCCAGGCTGCAAATGCTTTGTCTGCAGCTCTTTCCAAGGCCTCCTGGGCTGCTTTGTCCTGGAGGAATGTGGCTGCCACAGCAGCTCCCAGATGGAGAATCCGTGTTTGATGTGGCTGTGGATTCAATCCGCTGCCTTGGGATGCAAGCCAAGGCCTTTTACAGGAATGAGGAGCTGACTCAGGGCCAGGAGAGGCTCTGGAAGCTTCCACAGCAGGTGAGGCACTGAACGAGGTGCGTGGCCACCTTATTCCCTGGCAGGGACTCTGCTTTGTCCTTTGCCTGGGGGCTGGTGACAGTTTCTCCCAGCAAGGATCCTGATCCATGTGGGTTCCTGTGGGAGGAAACCTGAGCTGCCTCCCGTGAAAACAGCCCCCTTGGCTCTGACCTGCACATTGTGCAGATGTTTTGGAAGTCTTCCTTTTAGCCAAATCTGTGTGAAGACTTCCAAAGCTGAACAGAAGGGATATTTGCCATTTTATAGTTATTGATTTGCTTATTTGGAGTTCTTCTGAATTCTATTGACTTGACAATTCAAAGCTAAAAAGCAGTTATTGAATGAAAACAATGGAATAAAACTGAGAAATGTACCCTGTCCTGCCTCACTGCAGGTAAATAAAATAATTACTGCTAAATGTAATTTCCTAAATTATTTGAAGTTCCTGCCATTCAGGAATTAAGAGTGCATTGTACAATCTATAAACTTACATGGAATGCTGATGTGGCTTCCTACATGGGATTTTCAGCACTAGGGCTGTACTGGATGCAGCAAACTCCATGCAGTTTGCCTGGCATCTGCTGCAGAAGGTGTTGTGTAATGGAATGAAAAAAAAAATATAATGTTTGTGTTCTGCCTGTCACCAGCAAATGTCAGCCACTGCAGCTTCAATGTGCAGTCAGAGGGGTACAGCAGCAACTACAAAGAACTCTTGGACTACTTTATGGGATGACTTAAAAAACAGACCAGAATAACTTTGTGACACAGATCATCCAGTTGAAGGAATAAAACCCTCAACTTGTAAATAGGTTCCTACAGAAAACCGCTATTTTGCTTCCATTATTTTGCTTTTTTCCCATTATTTTGGAGCAGATGTTGAGTGTTCTTTGATCTGCTGTGGTTGTCTCTGCCTCTGGTGGCAGGATTTTGGGATCAGCTGCTTCCTGTGCAGGTCTCCTGTGTCCTTGTGCTTCTCTGGACATCACAGATACTGAGACTTAGCAGAAGATGCTCATGGGCTGTGGGCAAAAATTCACTCCTGCAAATGGAAATTCCCTATTCCTGCTTAGAATTTGCCTATTATGTAATGGGATTTAAAGCAGCATTGTCTCACCCTTCAGTTTAATTTTACATTAACAGCGGAGCTGTGTGGAGAGAACTCTTTTCATCCCAAGGCTCTGCTGTGTATCTTTCTGTTCATTTAGAAATGACACTTTCAGTTTCAATGACCATTGTGGCACTAAGAAATGTGTGAAAAAGAAAAACAAGTTGCTATTTTTATGTGGTCTGCACAAACCAGATTTGCAGACCCTGAATCCCGGCTCCTCTGCCTGGTACTTGTTATTTAGGGAGCCCAAATGCCATCATTAATAAGGCCACTACCCAAGGAATACTGGCATTTCTTGGCACATTATCTGGGATTAAAAAATACAGTTTCTCCAAGTAAAACATAGAAAGGACTGAAGTGGAAAAAAAATCAGTGTTTGACAGAGGAGAAGGAAGAAACTAGACAGTGAAATAAAATAATTCCAAACCTCAGAAATGTATTTTAATTGCAAATGGAAACATTCACATTTTTCTCATTTAGAAGAGCAATAATTGCTGAAGATTGCAAGGTGGGCTTGAGGGAGGAAGAACAAATAGATGTTTTTGTTAAAATTAATAAGGGTTATAGGAAACAAGAGAATGAATCACTACCTTGCAAGCATGGCCTTGCTTAAATTGGACAGGAAACAAATGTAAATTATGGAATTACAGAATCTGGGAATCCTGGAATGGTTTGGGATAGAAGGGACCTCAAAGCCCATCCCATTCCACCCCTTGCCATGGGCAGGGACGACTTCCACCATCCCAGGTGGCTCCAAGCCCCATCCAACCTGGCCCTGGACACTTCCAGGGGTGGGGCAGCCCCAGCCTCTCTGTTCAGTCTCTTCCACTGTTGAATTGTCTTCACCTTTAGGGAGTTTTCTAATCCATTACTATTGCAATTTTACCCTTTCCATTTCCTTTTCTGGCTGTTGCAGACACAGAGAACAGTTTATTTCCTCTCCCTCCTGTTGTCTTCACCCATGAGGGTGTGAGCAGTGTTCCTCCCCACCATCTCTGCACCAAATCATCCCTGTCCTTTCAAACTTGGAAAGTTGGGAGCCTGATCTTTTCTTTGGGATTTCCTGCTCCCTTGAGGTGCTGGCATTTAACAGTTCTCTCTCAAATTTCAGGTTTCAATTTCTTACTCAAGTTGCCTTTTCTGGA